GAGTGGAAGGCACAGTCTTCACTCTGCTCGTCACACTTGACGGTTTCCCACCGACTTCAATGCATTAGCCCAGTCCCCCTACTCATCCCACTCCTCCCTGCTCTCCCCTCTCTTCCCCAACCTCTCCCCGTGGTCACTCTCTCCCATTCTCTCCCTCATCCCTCTCCGCCTCACTCTCCCCTTTCTTCTCCCCCCATGGGCGCCAGAGCAAGGGGGCCACGGGGGGACGGCCAGAGGATGTGCCGGGCTTCGTCCTGCTGGCGATCCCCGAGGACCAGTTGCAAGCTGCCACGTGGCAGCACCTGCCACGCCTGTCACGGACGGCAGTACAGCTGGTGAAAGCGGCGGACGTTATTGGTGCTCGCACGCACTATGATACTGATGGCATGCTGCATAACACCCAGCAGGCGAGTATGGAAAATGGCATGATGTGATGGCATGATGCCATGGCATGGCATGATAATGCTTGTCTAACGGACGTGATTGGTGCTCGAACTCACTACGACATCGATGGTGTGCTGCATACAAACAACCCAGCAGGTGCGCTTGAAATGGCGGCTTGGGTGGCATTGCGTGGTATGGCATGGCATAGCATGGCATGACGTGGCGTGGCGTGGCGTGGCATGGCATGTCACAGGCAGTGTGATACTGGTTGTGACGTGTGTCTTGAGTCGACTCTAGCACATCACACCTATGTGACAAGCTTTGGGCATGCAAGGCCTGCTTGCAGCAGCGCTGCATGCCCACCTTGATTCCCCTGTGCCCACTCACCTCCAACTCCCTTCTCTCCTTCCCCATCCCCTGCTTTCTTCCTCCTCCCTCCCGCCCTACAGTTGCGCATGGCAGGGCTAGCAGCTTCAGACGTGATGCAGCAGGTGCGCCGCACGCTGCTGCTGATAGCGGATCAGATGCGCATTGCCCCTCTGCTCTTCGGCACCCACAGGCAAGATGGGGCCGATGAGCATTGGCAGCACCACGCAGCTGGAGCAGGCGCTTCAGCAGAGGCAAGGTGGGCAGCTGGAGCAAGCGCTTCAGGACAGGCAAGGCGGGAAGCACACGGGCCACAGCCGACCAAGCAGCAGCAGCAGAAGCAGCAGCGGGGGTGACAGCAGCGGGGGGGTGACAGCAGCGGGGGTAACAGCAGCGGTGGCAGCAGGGGGGTGGCCGGAGTCTGTTGGGCCGGTCTGACCTGGTGACGAGCTGGCGGCATGTGTTCCGGGTGCTGGTGGGTGGAGGCAAGTGCCAGATGCCATGGAACCCATCGCCCGGAACGAGTTCCCTATCAGAATCAGTAGAAGTACCTACTAATATCCGCTACTGGTACAACGATCAGGTTCGCGGCCGATAATGACTGGCGTGAAAAACCTCGAACTGAATACGGCATGTTTGGGGGCATCGCGTCTTGTGGAAAGGGCAGTGCTATATAAAAACAGACCATATTTACCATGCTCTGGAATTTGAGAGCCTGTGGTGATCATAGAAATTTAAGAGTTAATGCTCCAACTTGGATTGCATTCAAATCAATGTTTGGAGTACCTAACTATTTACCCTAGTTTCACCTCGGCCCTCAGAAGTCAGACTTTTTTCTCTGATTTGGGCTTTTTTCTCTGATATTTCAGATTTTTTTTCCTGTGTACTCTGATAAAATCAGACTTTTTTGGGCCTCAACTCTGTAATTTTCAGACTTTTTTTAAGGCTAACTCTGAGAGTTCAAAGTCTTCTGAGAGTGTACTCTGATCATTCAGAGTACAAACGCGTCCTTGACTGGTGATTCGGACTTACGGGTCACAGCAGATTCGCACTGCCAAAGCGAAATCTCCTTGACATAGCAAATCTGAGCCTTTACATCACAAGATTTTCGCCCAATCATAGCAAAATCGCCCTGACACAACAGTTTTGAGTTGTCAGAGCACCACAATTTTCGCCCAATCACAGCAAAATCGCCCTGACATTGCACATTCGCCTTTTCGCACCACAAGATTCGCCCTGACACATATATTCGCCCTGTCAGAGCATGTTTTATCGAAAATCCCCTTAGTGTAGCATGTTTCGGTAGCAGTTGGTGAAACATTGAATACACTTCCGATGAAACATTGAACAGATTGATTTTGAATGATCAGACTTTTGTTTTATGACACTCTGACATTTCAGCCTTTTTTTTATACCAAGTCTGAGATTTTCAGACTAAAATTGTGTACTAGTCTGATGAATCAGACAGGCCTAAAACGAATCTGAGGGCCTGTTTCACCTATATGATGGCTCAGTATCAAACATCAACAGTTACAGTCAGACACAGTAAAAAAAGTTCCATACAATGCGAGCGATGATCAACCACAACCCGATACTGCTGCACTTCATAGGAATCAGAGTGACAATGGCACCCCATGGCTATAGCTTTTTTTGTTGGAACCATGGTGGATGTTGCTGCTGTTGGTATGCGTTGGTTGATCCACCACATCTTCAGAATCCTCAATCGAAATGTTTCTTCTGGCAGGTCCAATGTCACAAGAATTTACCATGGCACCAAACTTGAGTGACCCCAATGTCTCTTCAATTGACGACCTGTCGGTGAAATGTTGAGGAACATGAGGGTCCTTGTCTCCTTCTCAATTGATTTCTGCAGAGCCAATCGCATCAGGAGAAAATTCTTGAACATCAAATGCTTTGGAGTACAAACATTCAAGTTCATACCTGCAGTAGGTAGGTCAACTTCCCGTCACGGTAGTGCGGGAGTTCGCCCTTAGCTCTTGCCTCTAGGACGTGGGATAAGGAGCTCAAGCTCTTGTTGATTGCCTGAAGATGGGTGTGGCACATGGCATGAGTCATTATGTGACCATCGTATGAATAAATCAGATTAATAAAGCTGCTTACTATGGACTCCGTCAATGTCTCTCCAGTTGCATTCGACTTCTTGGTTCTTTCACTTCCTGCCAAATCAATCAAGTTGAGGATGCCATGTGTTGTCTCACCAGTGCCCTGACAGGGAAGAGAAGGATCAATAGTGAGATCTGTCACAAGTTTCGCCCAAAACTGCTGCAAGAATTGAGTTACATTTAATCACTCACCCGATGTCGGCCATTCAGCCGGAGGGTGAAAACCGCATGAGAGCGTGATGACTCCTCGTTCATGTCTGTCCTTGCAACGGACCTGCAATTAAACATGATCAAACATGATCAATATGATGCAAAATCCACAAGCAAGCTCTGATCATCCGTACCTCTTCTTGTGTGCATAAGCGAAAACCTCAGCTGCGTCCTCCACAGACTGCACAGTGACAACTTTGAGGCCAACCACTGTAGTAGTTCCATCCTTCTCGTGAACGATGGTGTAAAGAGAAAGCCCCCCCCCCCTTTTTTTGCTGCCACACTTCCCTTCTCAGGCTTCGAGCTTGTAACACTTCCCTTCTCAGGCTTCGAGCGTGCAACACTTCCCTTCTCAGGCTTCGAGCTCGTAGCCTCGTCATCGTTGTGGTATCCTTTCAGCAGGTCGCGGATGGACTCATTGTGGATCTCGAGAAAGGAAGCCTGCAGGGTACGAAAAAGCAATGTTCAGTTGCTGCAGGTTGCACAGAACCACCAAGAACAATAGATGCACGAACGCACCTCAACGGTGTAATTCCATCCCGTGTTGGACTTTTGACGGATGACTTGAAAAATCTGCTGCATGGAACGTGGAATAGCTCCACGGAGAGTCTCGTCGGTGGTGTCCCCGAACATGGTAAAAGTTTTTCCAGAACCGGTCTGGCCATATGCAAAGATACACACCTGAAAAGAGAACCGTGAAAAACTGGGTCAGAAGGTTGTTGAATAACAACGGACAGGTTAATTGAATCCTTTCTACTTACCTTATAGCCATACAATGCACTGGTAACCAGGTCTGCAATCTCTTCAAACACAACCGGCTGAGTCGTAGCAGGCGGAAACACCTTGTCAAACTTGAAATCTCCTTCATGCCCTGATCAGCCATAAAATTTTTATGTCAGAAAAGGGGACTTTTGGGACGCGAGTTGTGCCAAATAAAAAAAATGGTTTACCTTGAACCGCGATCTTGTTATCAATGTTGTTCTCAGGAATCCGTACAGCCATAGCACCAAGGTTTTCTTTTTCTTCCTTCGCACTAAGAGGGCGAACCCGGCAAAACACCCTAATGTTCCCTTTCATCAACTGCAGAGAAATTTAAGTGAGCCTCTGATGGATCGGAAAAATAGCAAAAACTTGTGAGAACAGCAAGAGCCATACCATTAGCCGGTTGTGGAGAGCCTTCATACTCTTTTCCGTCTCTGCAGCAGGAGATCCTTCTTACGCAGAAGCTGCTGACTTTCAGCCAACGCGTTCTTCAACCTTGTATTCTCTGCCTTCAGATCGCACTCGGTTTGTGATGGTCCCTGAAGAAGACGCGAGCAGGAACATAATCAGATCGCGACTAACTTCTCATTCTATGCATCAGCTGAGAATCTTACCTCCACATTCTTTAACTCGACTTCCTTCTGACCAGCTTCATTCCTATCATTAATATCCTTAGCCAGTTGACCGATCACAACCTGGAATGTGACACACACGTAATAAAGACTCTGAACCATGCAAAAACGTAGCGAATGTACTGCACGTGACGTATACCTGTTGAGAGTCGATAAACTCTTGCCTCTTCTCAAGTTCATTCGTCAGGTGGTCAATCTGCAAAGGGTCGTGGTACTTAGTGCCGTAGAATCGAATGCTGCATCAGATACCTTATCCTTGGATGCCGAACTTTCGGTAACTGCGGAGCTCAGTGCCCGATTCAGCTCCTCCGTTCTGGCATGGAGAAGCTTCTCAGAAACCAGAAGCTTTGATTCTACCTGTAGAGCAACCAAAGCACGAGTTAGCGGGAGTTCGAAGAGCATAGACCAACCAAACGTCTCACACGCACCTCTTCCGTCTTCTTGTTGGCATCCTGCAGAGAAGCCTCCAAGGTACCCACGGATTGCTCGAGCTCCTTAATGCGAGCTAGAAGCCAGTCGCGTTCCTTAGCCTTTTCATCAAAGTCAAGCTTTCGCTTCTTCACGTCCCTGTTCTCCTCATCCTGCGGGTCAGCATTCTTGACACTGTCAGCGGTAGATCCGTCAATGGTGTTGGATGAAGCCTGCATTATCCCACTAATCTGCCGTTTCACTTTTTTTTTTAAAGGCCTACGGCTGATCCTGGTGGCAGAGAGTCAATCATCGTTGCACGGGATTTTCGTGCACAGTTTACCAAGGGCGATGGCAAGTCGCGAGGGTGATTGTTGAGCTTGAACAGTTGTGGGTGGAATGTGAAGAGTATCTGTGGATAGCTGCATGTGATCCGAATGGTCGAGGACCTGTGTAGCTGCATGTGTGATGTGCCCGAGTGCCTCTGCATAGCAGAATGGTGATGGAGTTGGTCAGTGCTCTGCGAGACATGTTAGACATGTGCATAGTTTTCCAGGTGCATTCCACTTAAACAATGGGTCCTATGAAACGACAGAGGGACATGTTTTCTTTTATACGGAATGATAAAAGACTCCATGAAGCATTACCAACTAGAGCACCACATGTGACGAAGAGGCTTTCACAAGCGCCCTTCATGTATCATATGTACAAACCCATGCCAATTTGCTTGGGTTCCCTCTCAATCATCCAACCGGGCCTGCACAGAACAACACACGCTCGGTCAGTCAGTGAGCAGGTGCAAGCAGCACTTAACCAGCGCACGCACCACTCAAGAGTGTGAGAGTTGAGAGCTTGAGGGCATGGGGCAGTCACAGGCCAGAGCTCACTCACTTGTTGATGGCGAAAAACCGTGCGCCCAGAGCGGCGCGTTGCAATAGCAACTCTCGCTGCGCCACTGGAATGGCCTCAGCCTGTTTGCTCCTCCGGGCAGCACGCACAGACGCACACGAGGGACCCAGGAGAACACGGGTACCAAGAGCCTTGGAGAATACGCAGGTGATTTAAATGAGGCTAGTGCATTGGCGGAAGGTAGTGAATGGGAGGAGGGTTGTGCATGAGAGGAGGAATTGAGAAGGGTGAGAGCAAAAGTTGAGACATGCGACTCGTATGTGCTTACACTGCTCTCTTTACACCCCACTTGTGCTGTGGCAGGGAGGAGGCAGCTGCAGCCACAGCCCTTCCCCAACACCTTTCCAGCCCTACATACCTGTTCGGGGTAGTGCACGCCTGGCAGGGACGTGCCTTCCAGCAGAGCGACAGCAAATGCTGCTGTAGCCACGCCCACACTCCTGGGGGGCACTCAGGGAGTGGGGGGAGGGACGGTTGAGGCGCAGGGGGGAGTTAGTGTGAGGAGCAGCAGAAAGGTGCATGACATGTTGTTTAGTTTCCTTGACATGATGTTGATGTTGATGTGATGCCGTTGGATGAACCCCATGCCCTCACACCAGTAAGTACTTACAATGTTACGAACTCACACTGAGAAGCACTCATACGGATAAGCGCTCACTTTGATAAGATTTCACACTGATAAAAAAATCACATGGATAAACACTCCCAGTGCTGAGAACTCACACTGATAAGCGGCGGTGGGAGAACAGAGCCGTTGTGGAGCGACCATTCTCTGTCTCCAAATCGACCTTGAAACATGTGAAACACAGGAGAGAGGAACGGGGGGAGTAGTGGCGCGAGTAGGAAGGAGGGAGGGGGATCGAGTGAGGGAAGGTAGGGGGGTGTCGAGGGGAGACCTAGAGAGTAGACAGACCGAGAGAAGGGAGGGAAAGGAGGAAAAACAATGGATTCTGGAGAAACCCACGGCATGCAACGCCGCTTACTCACATTCCCCCCAACCGCCCTCCCCTCTCACCCGCATGGCGACCCTCTCCCCCGCGCTGCCATCAGCGGCGCGCACCAGCGGCTCCAACACTCCCGCCATGCGCTGCACTGCGCTGCAGTCCTGCAGCACGGCCTGGCAGATGTGGGCCCCAGGGAGTGGGTGGAGGGGAAGATGTGGAGGGGGTGGTGTGAGCACCAGAGGCTCCAACGCCCCCACCATGCGCTGCACTGCCTGCGGTCCTGCAGCACTGACTGGCGGGGATGTGCGCACAAGGGACGAGGTGGGGGAGGGGGGGGAGGAGGGGAAGGGGTGAGTGATGGGTGGGGGTGGTGTGAGCATGCAGTGCAGCGTCCAGTCCCCCACCTTCCCAACAGGGAGGGGAAGCAGGCAGCAGGGCGCACCTGAGGCAGCAGGGCGCACCTGAGGCAGCAGGGAGCGCAGCAGGTGCATGGCCCAGTTCCACATGTGAGGCGCCGTGCCAAAGCGGGCCGACACGGTGGGCACCCCCAGCACCTCGTGCGCTGACACCACCTCCGGTAGGTTGCTGGGGGGGGGGGGAGGGGAGGCAGGAGGAGTGGGCAGGAACGGGCGAAGAGCGCGAGAGAAGTGGGAGCGGAGTGGGAAGGGATTGGGAGAGGATTGGGACAGAGACGAGGGCAGAGCCCTAAGGAGCAGTGGCGACAGCTGCTGCAGACATATGTGCAGCACAGTCATGGCAAGGCAAGGTATGGCATGACATGGCATGGAAAGGCAAGGCAAGGCAAGGCGCGCCGTCGCTCACAGCAGGTACGTGCTTCTCTCCCCCACGCCCGGGCCAAAGTCCACCAGACGCTGCTGGCTGTACGCTGGCAGCTGCAGACGCTGCCCTGGCGGGGAGAAGAGGGCGAGGGCAGGGGAGGAGGGCACGGGGCGAGTGAGGCACCAAAGACACAAGCGCGAGCAGGGGGAAGCAGGGGTGGCGGGAAATGAAGAACAGGCAAGCATCTTTCCAGTGCTCTCGTTCCATCCCACCCCCTCCTCCTCCACGTTTCAGTCTCTCCACCCCACTCCACCCATTCCTCCACCGTCTTCTCCCACGCATTTCAGAACACCTTTCATCCCCCATTCACTTCACAACATCCCCATCTCTTCCCCCTTTCAACCCCATCATCTCCCCCCGCACCGTCTTTGAAGGCGGTGGCAGGCTCCCCCAGCAGCAGCAGGCTGGTGGTCAGGATGGTGGGACCCGCCCCTCCCGTGCCCGCCGTGAAATACGAGAAGCTAGTAGGCCGGGAAAGGGGGGGAGAGGGCAAGGTTTGTTGTGGGCGGAAGAGAAGCGAGCGGGAGTGCACGGAGGAGAGGAGTGGGTGGAGAGAATGGCGGAGCCGGAGAGGAGACAGGTGCTGGGAAACGACAGAACATGGAGAAGTTGGAACTTGGTGGGTGCAGGTGAGTGAGTGAGTGAGTGAATGAGTGAGTGAGTGAGTGAGTGGTGGCACCGCAGGCTCTTTGGTCGAAGGCCGAGAGCGGCTTGCTGCTGCCCTTGTTGCTCCTCCATGCGCGCCCCCTCCTCCCCTGCTAGCCGCACCAGCTCCGCTGCCATCACTGCGGACAGGACAGCACAGCATGTGACATAAGAGAGCAGAGAATTGCACGTCGCTCATGCTGTCATGCACCACATGCACTGGCTGGAACAAATTGGGCGTGCAGCATGGCAGCATCAAGCAGACAACTGCTGGCACACATCTGGCACCCTGCTTCCCCTCCCCTCTGAGCGCACTGACAGTTGCTGACGCCCGGGTAGATGCCGGCGGTGGTGATGGCCGGCACACCCGCCGCCACAGCAGCGCCGTGCAGCGACCGCGCGTTGGCAGCGAATGCCACGTCATCACACACGTCCACGTAGGGCGTCTAAAAGAAGGGGGTGTTGGGAGGGGTGGGAGAGAAGGGAAGGCAGAGAAGATGGTATGGTGCTACGACAGCACAGGGCAGGTGATGGACAGCGCAAGCGAGCGGTGTGGAAAGGTGTGTGGAGGGGAGAGAGGAGGAAGACGCCTGAGAGGCAGGCACCCCACCTTGGTGCGGATGGCTGCTTCCAGAACGGTGCAGTGCGGTTCTCGCTGGAAGGGCCCCGCACAGTGCACCACCAGGTCGGCTCCTGCGAGCAGGCGGAGGGGCGGGGGAGCAGGGAAGGAGAGGTGATGCAGGGCGAGGCAGCAGCAGCGCCAGTGTCAGAAAATGGCAGAACATGGCACGGAATGGCATGGGATGCGAGACCCAGGCATGTGAGGGCGACCTGAGAGGAGGGCGGGATGTGAGGAGGCTGTGGAGTGCACGGCGCGGCGTGATCAATGGGAGACGTGCGACCGGGAGCACCTGAGAGGAGGCTGTCAAGTGCAGAGGCGTGGGTGATGTCGCACTCTATGAACACCGCACTCCCTGCCGCCCCCGCTGCCGCCCTCACCTCCTCACACACCGCCTCGCCCCTCCCCCTGCCTCGCCCCGTTGCGACATAGATGCGCGCGCGCATGCACGCGCGTATGGAAGGGTGGTGGGCGGGTGGGCGGGGATTGGGGGGGGGGGGGGAACGACGAGAGCGGAGGGAAGAAGGAATGAGTGGAGAGCGGCCACACATTTTCGCAAGCACCGAGGCAAGGGGCACATGCAGCCATGCGCGCATGCACACACGCCGCGAGGAAGCAGCACCGACAGAGCTCCGCGTAGAGACGTCACGCGCAGAGAGCGCCACGCGCAGAGTGCGCCATTCCGGGCGGGCGCGCACCTGTTGCGCCCGCTGATGATGAGCTCCAGTTGGAAGTCCGCGCGCGTCGCTTCGTCGTCGGACGCCGCCAGCGCCGCCAGCGCCACGGCCGTCGACCGCCCCACGCGCCCGCTCCCGCCGAGAACCACCACGCGCTTCACCCCGCCGCTGCTTCGCTCGCCCGCAACCCCGCCCCTCGGCTCCTTCCCCTCATCCGCGGCTGCCGCCGCCTGCGCCCTCAGCGCGATCGCGCGCCGCCTGGCCGCCCCGCGGAGTGGGGCGAGCGGAGTGCGGCGACGACAGAGCGGACTCGCGGGGATGGCGGAGAGAGGCGGTAGCGGGGCGGAGCGGAGATATGGGGAAGGCGAAAATGGCGGAATGAGAGGCGCGCAAAGCTGATGCGCGCGGGCGAGAGGAAGCGCGGCCATGGCGGCCGGACTGCGAGCGACAAACGCGGGAGTGGGAGTTTGAGTGATGGTGGAGTTGACTAGCAAGTATTGAATGCTCTCATGGTGCCGTGAACCCGTTAGTGATAGCTTCGCTATCCGCTTCCACGCTGTTGTGGGGTGCTAAGATACACACTTGATGCTTGTAGCTTGAGAAATTGGTGTAAGGCAGGGAGAAATTGGTGTAGCTCATACCGCACTTGAACGTACTGTAGTTTTATTTGACCCTACCAAACCACCACCGAAAAGGTGCGACCATGAAAATAGCATTTCGCGAGCTCGCACAACACCGTAGGCCGGTTACCAGTGGCGAAACGAGCATGTCAAAAGCTTTGCTCACCAAACACGCCTGACTGCCTGGCACTCGTGCTCTTGCGTTCCTTCTACACACCGCGACACGCCACTCGCGTCTGGCCTTACTATGCGTGCGCGACCACGACGCTCGTTGACGTGACCGCGGTGCTGCCAGGCACATAACCGCCTCGCATCGCATCGCATCGCAACCCTGACTCGAATCCACGCTCACGATTTAATCGCCCAATTCCGCTCGCCCCCGCTGTTCCCGCTGTGGCTCCGCACACGCGTCCGACGCACGTGCTCTCAGCCATCCACCCGCGCGTCCGTCTCTCCGTCAGCCGCCTGAGTCCGAGCGCGTACTTTCCGTCAGATTCGCCGTCACCCTCGTAATTTCGTCAGACTCCGTCTCTCGTCGGTCGTCAACGCGCGCCCATGCTTAGAGTGGTCAGCACCCTGCCGCTCTCTCTTTTCCCCTCTTCCCCGCATCTCTCCGCTATATCGGCACCTCTCACTTCCTGTCGCTGCTCCTCTTTTATCTCCCCACGCTGCCCCTTCGTTTGCGCATGACCGTTTTCTCCTCCGCCCACCCCCTCTGACTCGCGCTTCACACAAATTCTCTCGCTTTTCCTTGTCCTACACCATCCCGTTGCCTCCCCCCCCGAAGGGCGCACGAGCTGCGCAAGAGCGCGCCAAGCAGGTCGGGCGGGGGGCGGCCTCTGCGTTGGGGGGAAGAGCACCTGCGCGGAGTGCGCGCGGGGCTGGGGGATGCGCGGGAGGCGAGGGCGTGCGGGCGGGGGTCGGCTGGCAGCCATGCAGCAGCGCGCGCGGTGAAGCGGACCCGCCGCTTCTCCGCGTCGCGCTGCGCCACTTCACCTCCGCGCGCCCCACAGCTGCCTACCCCAGCGCCTTCGGCGCAGGCAGCGCCAGCACGGGCGGCTGGGGGCGGGCGGCAGCGGCGCGGAGGGCGGGGGCGGGGGAGCGGGAGCAGGTGGCGTGGCTGGCGGAGATGACGCGGCACAACCCCGAGGAGGCGATCCGCGCGTTTGAGGCGAGCGCACAGCTGCAGGCCGCGCCGGACGCGCTGGCGGAGTACGTGCGCGCGCTGGTGGCTGTCGACCGCCTTGATGGCAGCGCGCTCCTCGCCACACTGCAACGAGGTACTGCGCGCATCTCCTCCACTCCACGCGCCCCTTGGCTGTACGGCCCCCTTTCCACATGCTGCCCTACCACACGCACTCGCCCATGCCAGATACCCCATGCCTCCTTCCTCCTGCTCCTGATCTCAATCCCTTCTCTTCATGCCCTCACCCCTTTCCCCTCCCACAATACTTTCCCCCTGTCTCTCCCGGAACCCCTTCCATTACCCACCTGCAGGCGCTGCGCGTTCCCCCTCCCCGTTCCCCGCCTCCCCCGCGCCGCTGTCGTCCATGCGCGCGCCGCTGCCGGGGGCGGTGGGCGCGGTGGCGGTGGAGGGCGCGCTGGGGACGGCGAGCGCGCCGCTGCACATGGTGGCGAGCGAGGGCGCGCGCGGACACGCGTGGCGCGCGCTCAGGTCGCTGGGCACGGCCGCCCTCGTGCTCGGCGCGCTCTGGGCCATTGCTCGCGAGCGCGACGTGGGGCGCGGTGAGTGGGGGAATGGGGGAAGGGGGTGGGACGAGGGGGTGGTGGGGGGTGAGTCTGGCGGGGTGATGGGATGGGTGGATGTGAGTGTAACTGGCACGGTGCATGCCCTCTTGCAGTGAGCATGAGTGATTGGTTAGCACCTACCTCGCCATGCCTCTCCCTCATCCCACCTCACCGCCTTCATCCATCCCTCCATTCCCGCTCACTTCCGCACTGCTCTCCTCCTCCACAATCCAACCCAACCCCCCCCTCCCTCCCCCATCTCTATCCCCGTGAGCAGGGTTGGGGTTGAACGAGGAGGTGCAGCCGATGGCGGAGAGTGACACGCGGTTCAGCGATGTCAAGGGCGTCGATGAGGCCAAGGCGGAGCTCGAAGAGATCGTGCACTACCTGCGCGACCCCAAGGTGCGTCACCTCTCACTCTCCTCCGCTCCCCTCCTCTGTGCTCCATGCTAGTCGTTACTGCTCGCTCATCATGCCTCGCATACCCCACTATGAGGCCAAGGCGGAACTGGAAGAGATCGTGCACTACCTCAGAGATTTCAAGGTGCGCTCCCCCTCTCACTCTCCCCTCCCTTCTGTGCGCCATGCTGGTTGAGCTGTTACAACTCCTCATCATGCCTTGCATTCCCGCTGCTGGGTGGTTCCTGTACTTTTAGAAAGACCCTTAGGTCCCTATATTTCCCACTTCGCGGAGTTGATTCGTGCCACTCGTTCCTCCTCCTCCACTGTCCACATCTTTATCCTTTCCCACATTCTCCAACGTTGTGTCTTACCTTCCCTGCCCCCTTCCCCCTATGCACCCTTCCCCCTATGCACCCTTCCCCCTATGCACCCTTCCCCCTATGCACCCTTCCCCCTATGCACCCTTCCCCCTATGCACCCTTCCCCCTATGCACCCTTCCCCCTATGCACCCTTCCCCCTATGCACCCTTCCCCCTATGCACCCTTCCCCCTATGCACCCTTCCCCCTATGCACCCTTCCCCCTATGCACCCTTCCCCCTATGCACCCTTCCCCCTATGCACCCTTCCCCCTATGCACCCTTCCCCCTATGCACCCTTCCCCCTATGCACCCTTCCCCCTATGCACCCTTCCCCCTATGCACCCTTCCCCCTATGCACCCTTCCCCCTATGCACCCTTCCCCCTATGCACCCTTCCCCCTATGCACCCTTCCCCCTATGCACCCTTCCCCCTATGCACCCTTCCCCCTATGCACCCTTCCCCCTATGCACCCTTCCCCCTATGCACCCTTCCCCCTATGCACCCTTCCCCCTATGCACCCTTCCCCCTATGCACCCTTCCCCCTATGCACCCTTCCCCCTATGCACCCTTCCCCCTATGCACCCTTCCCCCTATGCACCCTTCCCCCTATGCACCCTTCCCCGCGTGCACCTTTCTCCGCGCCCCCACTTCCCGTGCCCCCCCATCCAGCGCTTCACGCGCCTGGGGGGCAAGCTACCCAAGGGAGTGCTGCTGGTGGGCCCGCCAGGACAGGCAAGACGATGCTAGCGCGCGCCATAGCGGGCGAGGCGGGAGTGCCCTTCTTCTACGTGTCGGGCTCCGAGTTCGAGGAGATGTTTGTCGGCGTCGGCGCGCGCCTTCTTGGCGCACCTATCCTTTCCCTCCTCCGCGCACCTTGAACTCACCTTCTCTGCCCCCTCTCCATTGTGGCCCTTTTCCTGCCTCCCTCCCTTCACAGCGCTTCACACGCCTGGGGGGAAAGCTGCCAAAGGGAGTGATACTGGTGGGCCCACCAGGCACGGGCAAGACGATGCTAGCGCGCGCCATAGCGGGCGAGGCGGGAGTGCCCTTCTTCTACGCGTCGGGCTCCGAGTTCGAGGAGATGTTCGTCGGCGTCGGCGCGCGCCTTCTTGGCGCACTTATCCTTTCCCTCCTCCTCGCACCTTGAACTCACCTTCCTCTGCCCCCTCCCCCACATGCCCCATGCCCTGCCCCCCCCCCCCCCACAGCGCTTCACACGCCTGGGGGGAAAACTGCCAAAGGGAGTGCTGCTGGTGGGCCCACCAGGAACGGGCAAGACGATGCTAGCGCGCGCCATCGCGGGCGAGGCGGGCGTGCCCTTCTTCTACGCCTCAGGCTCTGAGTTCGAGGAGATGTTTGTCGGCGTCGGCGCGCGCCGCGTGCGCGAGCTCTTCGCCGCGGCCAAGAAAGCCGCGCCCTGCATCGTGTTTCTCGATGAGATCGACGCCATCGGGGGCAGCCGCAACCCCAAGGACCAGCAGTACATGAAGATGACTCTCAACCAGCTGCTCGTGGAGCTGGATGGCTTTAAGCAGAACCAGGGCGTCATTGTGGTGGCCGCTACCAACTTCCCGGAGAGCCTAGATAAGGCGCTCGTGCGCCCGGGGCGGTTTGACCGCCATGTGGTTGTGCCGAACCCTGATGTGGAGGGGCGGCGGCAGATTCTGGAGCATCATCTGCGCAAGGTGCAGTGCGGTGGGGGGGGGTGTTGCATGCATAGGTGCTCCATTCATGGGTGCAAGAAACTGTGTTTCCATATTTGGCTTCATTACTTTCCTCACCTTCCGCTGCCCCTTCCCCCCTCACTCCTTCCCCATCAAATTCCACGCTGTGCATAGAATGTTTGATGAGCATATTCAGCAGCCTATGCAAACTTCCATCTTTCCCTCCTCTCCTCCCCATTAACTCCCAACCAACCCCATCACTCCTCTCCCCTCCCCCCACTTCTTCTCTCCCACCCCCTCAGATTCCCCGAGCAGACGACGTGGACGTGTCGGTGATAGCGCGCGGCACGCCAGGCTTCAGCGGGGCAGACCTGGCGAATCTCGTCAACGTCGCTGCTTTACGAGCGGCCATGGAGGGGCAGAGGGCGGTGGGCCTAGCGCACCTGGAGCACGCCAAGGACCGCATCCTCATGGGCGCCGAGCGCAAGTGTGCCGTGATTTTCCCGTCATGTGCACCCTCCTCTTCCCCTCCGCCCTCCAGATCCCCCGAGCAGATGACGTGGACGTGTCAGTCATAGCACGCGGCACGCCAGGCTTCAGCGGGGCGGACCTGGCGAACCTGGTGAACGTGGCGGCTCTGCGGGCAGCCATGGAGGGGCAGCGTGCGGTGGCGCTAGCGCACCTGGAGCACGCCAAGGACCGCATCCTCATGGGCGCCGAGCGCAAGTCCGCCGTCATCTCCCCTCAGACGCGGCGCCTGACGGCGTACCACGAGGGCGGGCACGCGCTGGTGGCCGTGCACACGGCGGGCGCACACCCCGTGCACAAGGCCACCATCGTCCCACGGGGCGTGGCGCTCGGCATGGTGGCGCAACTGCCGGAGACCGACGAGGTGAGCGTGTCGCGCACGCAGATGCTGGCCCGGCTGGACGTCTGCATGGGAGGGCGGGTTGCGGAGGAATTGGTGTTTGGTCCGGGGGAGGTGACTTCTGGTGCGTCGAGTGATATTGTCCAGGCGACGAGGCTTGCGAGGGAGATGGTGACAAAGTATGGGATGAGCGAGGCGGTGGGTGTGGTGGCACATGATTACGAGGACGACGGGCGGTCTATGAGCACGGAGACTCGGCTCACCATTGAGAGGGAGGTGCGGGCGCTGCTGCAGCGCGCGCATGACAACGCACGGGCCATCCTGGTGAAGCATGAAGCAGAGTTGCATGCACTTGCAGGGGCGCTGTTAGAGAGGGAGACGCTCACAGGCGCACAAGTGAAGGCTGTACTGGAGGCTGCCAGGAACAAGGCCGGTGCTGCTGCTGCTACGGCCGGCGCTGCTGCTGTTGCTGTGGCGGGTGATGGTGCTGGTGTTCCGTCTGTGCCGAAAACAGCCACTTCGGCTGCTGCAGCGGCAGCGGCGGCTGCAGCTGAGGCTGCTGCTAGTGCAGCAGGTGCGCCCACGCAACCGGCAGGGGCTTAGTGGTCCGGATCCGGTGCTCTGCTTCTCCTTGTTGCTGATTTTACATCTCCGCTGGCTGTGCGCTCAAGGCTGATTTAACGCTTTTATTTAGTTTTGACGAAGTGTCATGGGGATGTGCCTCAGCATGGGTGTTTGCTGAAGTTAATGCCTTATCCCCCTCCGCTTTGTGTTAACGTCCAAGCGACATACAGCTATATTGTATCATAATGTACAGCCGTCATACTGCACGAGCGCGAGGGTGGTGTATCGAGTCGGGAATCCAAGAGTCCAGACAAATCACACAACACACCCCCAACAGCGTCAATGCTGTCAACTCGGCAGCATTACCACAAACGTTCCTCGATCATCGTCTACTTACCTCCTCCATCACCGCCTCTCTCGGCCTCGCCTCCACTCGCGTCCAGCGCGGTGCAGCATTTTTTAAAAGCTGCACTCCCAACACAACAGGACCGACAGCCGGCCAACGGCATATTCGACACTCACACTCGCCGCAACACTTCTGTGCGGCTCTCGGCGATAGGCACCTCTAGCGTTGCGCACTCCCACTACTCCTCGCGTCGTTCTCGTCGTGATCCGCGTGCTGCGCTTGCCTCTTGCCGCTTGCCGCTTGCCGCGCGCGTCTATACTGCGAGCTCGCCGCGAAAGAGTCGAGTGCTGGCTGATCATTCCGCCGACGCGTGCCGCCAAGACTGTGCGCCCGCCATGCGCCCCGCGAATGGGAGTACTGTGCGGGGAGGCGCGATAGAGAGGGGGAAGGTGCGATAGAGTGGGGGAAGGCGCGATAGGGTGGAAGGAGTCTGATAGACGATAACCGGCGTGTCACAGGGCGGCGCGGCGCGGTGATCGGCAGGCGCTGCCTCGTACCGCATTGATCCATTAGCCACCTTCCATTCGCCCATTCGCCTCCGTTCCGGTGTGCCCACCGCCCATCCTTCTTTCCACGGACCATCCCACTCGGCGGCATCGCGCGCAGCCCCTTTCTCCCCGCGTCCCCTTCCCCCCCCTCTCCGCCATGCGATGACCCGTCCCCACTCCGCCGACGCCTCCAAACACTCCGCTCCGCCGTCCGCCCGCCGCTCCGCCTACCGCCTCGCCTCGCGCATCTTCTCCCTCCCATCCCGACTCGCCCACGCCGTCACACGACCGGCTGATGGCGCCGGCAATCTAGCCGGCAGCCGCTCCAACCGGCACCGCAACCGTTCGTCCTCGTCGTTCCTCTCCTCCGCCTTCCCCATCTCCTTCCCCCGCGCCCGCCGCTCCCCCAGCGGCTATGCCTCCGCGGACTCGTCGTGGCGCGGGGACGGCTGGCCGGCGGCGGACGGCACGGCGCGCAGCGACCACGTGGGGACGATCACGGGGAAGCGGTACAGTGCGGTGAAGCTGGAACAGCTGTACGAGCTGGGCGGGTTCATTGGGCGCGGGCAGAGCGGCGTGATCAGCGCGTGCACGCACCGCCACACGGGCGAGCGGCTGGCCGTTAAGAGCATTCTCAAGAAAACCATCCACTCCGAAGGCACCGCACGCGACGTGCAGCGCGAGGTACGCGTGTTTTGAGTCGACTCAAAGCAGCGGCTGGCCGTTAAGAGCATCCTCAAAAAGACCATCCACTCCGAAGGCACCGCGAGAGACGTGCAGCGCGAGGTGCGCGCACGCAAAAGGGGGAGGGTGGTGGGGGAGAGGATAGACAAGGAAGATGGGGGAAGGGGGTTGGTTGTTTGGTGGAGGAGAATGAGGAATGGGGGGCGTTGGGGCATTGACACGTGCAGCGGACTCAGCTTCCCTGCCTCACACACGCCCTCCCTCCCCTCCCTCCTCTCCCTCCTCTTCCTCTTTGCTCCTCTATCCCTTCCCCCCTCATCCCCCCCTCTCCCCCACATCTCCCCACCTTCCCCCCCCACACCAGGTGCAGGTGCTGGGCATGTTGCGCGGGCATGCGCACGTGGTGCGAATGGAGGGCGTGTTTGAGGACCAGACGGCTGTGCACATCGTCATGGAGTTATGTGAAGGGGGCACGCTCACGCACCACATCGCACAACAGGTGAGGTGACTGTTGACTCCACTCAAAATGCACCGCTGCCTGTCTCCCACTTCCCCTCACGCCTGCCCTCTCCTCTTTCCCCGTCCCTCTTTCCCCCTTCCGCCCTTCCCAACCCCAGGGCGAGTGCAGCGAGCATGCAGCGTTTGCGATAATGAGGGTGGTGCTGGAGGGGGTGGGCGCGTGCCATGCCATGCCATGCCATGCGATCGGCATGTTTTGAGTCGACTCAAAAGTCACCTCATAGTGCACCGGGACGTCAACCTCCTCCGCAACTTCCTGCTCTCTCCCCCTCCTCCTTCCTCCCTTCCCCCTGCCCAGGCCGAGTACAGCGAGCGGGCGGCAGCGGGCATAATGAGGGTGCTGCTGCTGGAGGTGGTGAGGGCGTGCCATGCCCAGGGCATAGTGCACCGGGACGTCAAGCTCGACAACTTCCTGCTCTCCGCTCTCTGCCTTCCCCCGCCTCCCCTCACGCCTGCCCTCTCCACTTCCCCCCTCCCTCTTTCCCCATTCCTCCCCATCCCACCCACCAGGGCGAGTACAGCGAGCGCGCAGCAGCGGCGATAATGCGGGTGGTGTTGGAGGTGGTGAGGGCGTGTCACGCACAGGGCATCGTGCACCGGGATGTCAAGCTCGGCAACTTCCTGCTGAGCGACCAGTCAGACCACGCCACACTCAAAGCCATTGACTTTGGCTCCGCCGCATTCTGCCACCCAGGCGAGCCCGACACCCCTCCCCTCCCGTCCCCTTCTCTTCCCGCGAGACCTGCCCGCGGCCCGCCCCAAGTCCGGCCGTCTCTCCTCCACTTTCTATTCAAATGCCACTGCCCGCCTCTCTCCATTCCAAACTCCGCTTCTCCGCCTCTCATTGCCCAAGCCCCCTACTCCTCTCCTCCTTTTCTCCCGTGCCACCCCAACCCCATGGGCTGCGAGCAGGCGAGGAGCTAGAGGCGATGGCGGGCAGTCCCATGTACATGGCACCGGAGGTGCTGGGGGAGCGATACTCACATCCCTGTGACGTGTGGAGCGCTGGCATCATGCTGCACACACTGCTCGCCGGCACGCCGCCCTTCCAAGGAGGTGCTCCGCCATCCCTTGCTGCCCCGCCCTTCCCTTGTCTCCGCCCTTCCCCGTCCTCTCTGCCCCCACCCCATCCCCTGCTGTCCCCATCCATTGCTACTCCGCTATTCTCAGTCTTCCCCCTATTCCTCTTTTCCCTTCAACCCTTCATTTTTTTTCCCTCCTGTCACCCATTCATACCGAGTCTCATCGCACCACTTCTCCCACCACCTCCAAACCCAGTCTCCCACTCCCTCATGCGCGTGCCCCCCCACCACTTTCTCCGCCGTCCTCGCCGCCAGACTCAGTGCTGGCGATATTTGAGGCCATCCGCACGGCACCATTGGACCTGTCGTCACACCCCTGGCCGCTCATCTCCCCGGGCGCCAAGGCGCTGCTCTCGCGCATGCTCCACCGCGACCCCTCCGCCCGCCCCACTGCCGAGCAGCTGCTGGGTGAGCCTAGTACCGCCCGTGGCCACCATTGGGCAGGCCACGGCCACCCATGGGCACTAATGGCTCATGGGCCGTGGGTCATGGGTCATGGGCCGTGGGTCATGGGTCATGGGCCGTGAGTCATGGCATGTGGGTCATGGGATGTGGGTCATGGGATGTGGGTCATGGGATGTGGGTCATGGGCCGTGGGTCATGGGCCGTGGGTCATGGGATGTGGGTCATGGGATGTGGGTCATGGGATGTGGGTCATGGGATGTGGGTGGGTGGACGGGGGGTGGTGGGCGGAGGGCGGTGGCACAGCTTTCAGCTGTTCTGGCCTTGCATGTGTTCTGTTCTGTGTGACCCGCCATGGCGCAGAGCTCACTCACCCCACTCCCTCACTGCGCTCCCTGCCTTGTTGCATCTGTGTGCCACCCCAACCCATGCCATCCCAACCCATGCCATCCCATCCCACCCCACCCCACCCCATGCCGCGCCAACCCACACGTCGTGTGAGCAGGGGACCCATGGATCCGGGGGCAGGAGGCGGAGGAGCGGCCGTTGCAGAGCATCATGCTGCCGCGCATGAAGCGCCTCAGCGCCATGTCCAAACTGCGCCACCTCGCCCTTCTGGTCAGTTGGCCGCTGCCCTGCCCCCTGCCTCACACCCCATGCCCATGCCACATGCCGCGCATGAAGCGACTCAGCGCCATGTCCAAGCTGCGCCACCTCACCCTGCTCGTCCGTCACTTCCCTCTTCCCACACCTCACACCCCCACACCCCACACCTCCCACCCCTCCCCTCGCTCACTCTGCACGTGCCGCTTCACACGCATCTGTGCACTCCCTCTCCCATCCCATCCTTGTCTGTCTCGCACCATCCTCTCCCCATCCCCGCCCTCACCCCTCGTCTCCTCGCTCTGACCCTCATCCATCCATCCCTCTGCACCTCATGCGCCCATCCCACCCCACACCCTCCCGCCTCCCCCCCAGGTGACGACGCGGCACATGGGGGAGGAGCAGGAGAGGGAGCTGAGGGCGGTGTTCTGTGCGGTGGGCGCGGACCAGGGGGGCGCGCTCAGCCTCCAGGACCTCACTGCTGCGCTGCGCAGCGTGGGGGCGGCTCTCAGCGACGATGACATCCGCCGCATCTTTGCCTTCGTGCGTGCTGCTGCTCACATGCTGCCCACCCGCACAAGCGCAAGCGCATGTACATGCACATGCACATAAGTGATGATGACATCCGCCTCGCAGCCTTGCACACGCGCGTGCATGTGCGCCTGCATGCACACAAACATACTTACATTACATGCGCTTCCCCTCGCACCTCTCCACATGCCACACTCTCCACATGATCGTTCTGGTGGTCTCTTACTCCTTACACATGGCAAAGGCACACCCTTCCCCTGGCCCATGCAGGTGGACGTGGATAGGAATGGCAGCATCGAGTATGCGGAGTTTGTGGCGGCCACCACCGTGCTGCACACACGCACACGCACACGCACACGCACACGCACATGCCCTACACCCGTGCAACAGCATGCCCTCTTCCCCCCACCTTCCCCCACGAACTGGCGTCTTTGCGCACGCACCAGGTGGACGTGGACGGCAGTGGCAGTATAGAGTACGCGGAGTTCGTCGCAGCCACCACCGTGCTGCACCGCGACCGCCATGCCGCCGCAATCAAACACGCCTTCCAGGAGATGGATGCGGATGGGTCGGGAGCGGTGAGCGTCGAGGAGTTTGCGGCGGTGTGCTGCCGGCTGGGCATGGGAGATCTGGAGGAGATGCGCGAGATAATTGCAACTGCCACGGCCGCTGAATATGTGAGCTGCTGCGCATGCCATTCATTCATGCTATGGTGTTTCTCCCCACTTGTCTCATTCCCTCGCCCACACTTGTTTCAACTGTCTCGCCCTATCACCCCATCCTTGTTTCTCCTCCCTGCTCATCCCTGCCCTTCCACGTGCACTGTCCCTCCACTCCACTACACCCCTACACTGCACCCCTCCATCAAAACCCACTCCATTTTACCTGACCCCTCCACCTGACCCCTCCACCTGACTGCCCCACGGTGCGTCTCCCCACCAACGCATGCAGGGCAACGAGGCGGGGTCGCTCCAAGCAGAGGGCAGCGGAGCGGCGGGCGAGAAGCAGATAGACTACAAGGACTTCCTGGCACTGGTCACGGGGTCAGGGCAGGAGGACCACCGCGTCGAGTCCTGGCTCGCTGCCGCGCTGCTCTGATCTCTTGCAAGGCAGATGGGGCAGAGGGCAGCGGGGGCTTGAGGTCGAAGCAGATAGACTACAAGGACTTTCTCGCACTGGTCACGGGATCAGGGCAGGAGGACCACCGCGTTGAGTCCTGGCTCGCTGCTGCCCTGCTTTGACGCCGCTCCCTCTTCTCGCTACTCGCCTCCAAGCCTTCTCACCTCCCCACCTCCCATCTCCCACCTATTCACCTCCACACTCACCCCGCCCGTCCATGGTCCACCCTCACTCACACTCACTCTGCGCCCACACTCTCACAACTTCTCCACCTGCTCCCTTGCCTTCCCCCACTCTATTCTGTGTGTGTCTCGCTCCTCATCACCCTACCTACAAGCCACTGCCTCGCTATCACCACCGCACCCATCTCCCTCATCCCTCTACGCCCGTGTGCCTGTTGTGCACGCAGCACTGGGTGCACGCAGCCGCAGGGGCACAGGCAGTGCCTTGCACCAGACCTCCATGTAGGGCTGCCCGTACCACTCCTCTACACCTGCCCTCATGCCCACACGCTCCACACCTGCAACCAAAGAGACAGGCAGAAACAGGGCTTGAGCCCATTCGAATTTCTACGGTAGTTTCCCTGTGCTTCTGTGCTTGTTCATAGGCCAGAGCTGTGGTGCATGCGTGGGGTTCAAGTGGATGGTCATGACTATGATGATGCCTCCTGTTACCCACCCATGCTCACACCTCAAGCATGCCTGCTGGTACATGATTTGGTTTTTTGCCACTGGATCTCCATGCTCTTAGATATCCTTACATACTGGATATCCAATACCAAACAATTTCTGTGCTAAAAGGTCCTTATAACATTACAATACAATGCTCTCCAACTGCCACTGCCAGTGAGACTCTGCTCTTTGATACATCAACAGCCACAAACTTCTTCCCACGTGCGCCCTACACAGCATGTGCCATGCGACACCACAGCGTTCCCACCTCATGTGTACAACATGCACATATGCACCATGCACACGTGCACCATGCACACATGCACCATGCACACATGCACCATGCATACCTGCATGCATACATGCATGGCATGAATCATGAATCATCATGATCCAGGGGCGAGGGAGAGGGGCATCAGTGGGGGTGGCGGGGCAGGTGGCACATGCGACACACGGTGCTGCCAGCGCTGGTGGGATTGCCATACGTGCAGTGCATGCACGACCAGTACTCGCCCTCCCCTGCTGCGCCTCCCCCACCCGCCACCTGCCCCTGCCCTTGCCCTTGCGCCAAACCAAGGCTCACCCCTCCCCCCGGTCCCCCATCAACGCGCATCCTCACCCCTCCACGCCCATCCCCCACCAACCCCCCATCAGCAAAATGCACATGGTTCACCCCACTCCCACTCCTCCGCCTCTTCCTCCCCTCCTCGCCCTCCCCGCCCTCCCCCGCGGCCTTGCTCGACCCCACCCCAGCATCCCCCTCCCCTGTCGGCACATCCTCGGGAATCTCCGAGAGTCCGGATTCAAGCGCGGTAACCAGGTTATGGAAGAAGGTGCGCGTGACGGCCGTGAGGCGCGTGAGGTGGGAGCGGAAGGCGAGGAACTCGGACAGGCGGTGCTGGGGGGAGAGGGCGGCGGGGGTGGGGTTGGCGTGCGCGTCGAAGGAGCCCTTGAAGTGCGAGGGCACAAACGCCTCCACATCCTTCTCTGCCGCCTTGTGCAGCCACCCCAACGCTGCGTCTGCCTGGCCCTGCTCCATGCAACACCATGCACATCGAAAGGAAGGGAAGTGGGTGGGGTGAAAGAAGTTGAATAGGGGAGGGGTTGGCGTGCGCGTCGAATGAGCCCTTGAAGTGCGAGGGCACAAACGCCTCCACGTCCTTCTGTGCTGCCTTGTGCAGCCACCCCAACGCTGCATCCGCCTGGCCCTGCGACCACCGAGGAGGGGGCAGGAGGGGTGGGTTAAGGAGGAGATTTGAAGTTACGATACGAGGTTGCATTGGTTGGTGGGGCTGAGTTGAGGCTATTGGTGACATAACTGGCAGGCAGCCTTGCACCGGCCGTGACAGCAGCACAATTACAGGATATGCAGGTGGGAGCCACCTGAAGGCATAATGAAGGCATTAAGGTCCCTAACTGAAACATCCAAGGACTTATCTGAAAGCACCTGACGACTCACCTGAAGGCACCTGAGAGCTCACCTGGGGGCAAGGCACCTGAGACAGACCTGGAGGTACTCAAAGAGGTTGCGGCGGGCGGGCTGGTGGTCGGAGAGGTAGAAGCCATAGGCGTAGGTCCACTTGAGCATGCGCCTGCACGCTATGATCTGCTGCCACGCCTCCGATAGAAACTTCATCTGCGCCGCTGGTAACCCCATCAGCCCCCTCAGCTGCTCCGCCTGGTGCTGCTCCACCTGCCAACGAGAGTGGGAATGGGGAGACGAGGGGGTCAGCTGAAAAGTGTTGCGCATGGTGAGAGGGGAAGGGAAAGAGGAATGGGGCAAGGGAAAGAGATGTCATGGAAGCTCAATGCCGTCGTCACTTGACTCCCCACACACCTGCTCTGTCTTGCCTCCCTCTCCCCATAATCACCTCCACTCTCTTTCCTCCCCCCCGTCCTCACCTCTTTGAGGCTCTCCTGTGCGCGCCGCCACGACTGTTCGTTGCTGGCCCACCGTTCAAAGTAGTGCAGATACCGCTCCAGTGACTGCCGCGCGCGCTGCCGCCGCTCCTCCTCCACGTTGTACTCGCCCTGCGGGGAGGGAAAGGGGGACGGGGGAAGAGAGGATGGAAGAGGAAAATGCTTTTCGAGTCTTTTCAAAGCTCCTCCGCATGCTCTACTTTCTCCCACCCCTCCCCCCTCCCTGTCGGCCTTCAACCACCACCACTACCCTTCACTGCCCTCCCCTTCCTCCCTCTGCCACACGCTACCATCCCCCTGCAGATCCCCCTCCCCCCTCCCCCCCCCTGCGCGCACCTTCTTCTTGCTGGTCTCGTAGCGGTTGCAGGCGTAGAACCCGCCGGTGCCCTCGCCGTGGTCCTTCCAGTCGCCAAGGCAGAGCCAGCAGAACTCGTGGCGGCACGGCGGCGAGCACGTCATGTGCATGCACCCGTGGTTCTTCTCTATCGGCCGCTGGCACCGCGGGCACGCCTTGCTGTTCGCCAGAATCCACTTCATGTTCTCCGACTCCGCACTGCCACAGGCAGCACAGATCACAAGGGGAAAAGGGGTGTGGGGGCAGAGGGGGGAGGAGGGGGGAGGGATGGGATGACTTTTGGGTCGACTGGAAAGGCACCTCGCTGGCAGCGCGGACATGCCTTGCTGTTCGCCAGAATCCACTTCATGTTCTCCGACTCCGCACTGCCGCCCGTGCGCAGTACACATGGGGGAGTGGGGGGAATCGGAGGAGAGGAGGGCGGATGGGGAGAAAGTGGGGAGGGATGAGGGGAGGCTGCCCCATGCCCACAGCAGAGACAGAACAAGGCAAAACACGGACCTGTTTTTGACGACCCATTTGCGCACGAGTTCGCAGTCAACTGGCCGGTGGGGCTCCTGCAGGCAGTGCCAGCACCACTCGTGCCCACACGCACACCGCACGTCCCGGCTCCTGCTCCCGCCCCACACCGCCCCTCCCCCTCCGCCCTCCTCCTCCTCCTCCGCCATCACCCCCTTCAGCTTCCCCCCGCGCGCGCCCGCGCCTGGCAGGGCGCGGGAGATGGGCGCGCCCCCTTCAGCGTGGATGGCGAAGTCACAGCCGGGCGAGGGGCACCACTTGACGCTCTCACTCGCCTCCACAAACGACCGCAGCTGGTACCGCCGGTACCGCTGCGCTGCTGCTGCCGCCACCCCCGCCCCACACGGGAATGCCGCTCCCCCACTGGCCTCTTCTCCCCCTCCCCCTGCTGCTGCCACTCCGCCTGCTGCAGCCGCCATTGCTCCCCCTGACGCTGCTGAGGGCATTGGTGCTTCTGCCGCTCCTTGTGCGCCCGATGCACAAGCCGCACCCTCCCTGCATCCAGGCTCAGCAGCAGCAGGCAGGGGCGCAGAGGGAGCGCTTTTGACCCTCCGCGCCTTGCCACTGCGCCCAACACCCTGGGACGAGCCAGCAGCGCCACCGGCTGGTGCAGCTTCACGTGCCGTTCCTGCTGCCCCTGCTGTTCCCGCTGCTCCTGCTCCTGCTCCACCTGTATCCGCTCCCCTGCCATCCCCCACTTCCTTCCCCTTCCCCTTCTCCTCGGCGCGCACGTCCCCTTCCCCACCCGCTTCCCCCCGGCCCTCCCCCAGCGCGTCCCCCTGAGCGGGCGCAGCCGCGTCCGCGAGGAGCGCGAGGATGCGCGCGTCCTCCACTGCTGCGCCGCACTTGGGCGCAGGGCAGCGCAGCGACAGGCACCCCGCCCCGTCAGCAATGGCGGATGCCACGTAGGTCTGCCAGCAGGGCACGCAGTAGCGGTGCTGCCCGCACAGCGCCATCACGACCGTCGATTCGAGGGGTTGGTCGTCGAAGCAGATACCGCAGCGCACTGTAGCGGGGACAGCCGCGGAGGACGACGCTTCTGGGGGGGAGGCGGGCGCATATAGCCCCAGGCGTTTGCGCACCCCCTCCTCGTCCGAAAACCACGCGTCGCTGGCGGACGCAAAGGGGGAAGAGGGGGGGAGTGGGGGTGGTGGGAAGAACAAGGTGGAGACGTTTGGGGGGGTGGGGGGGGGGGTGGGGGAGAGGCAGGGGTTGAGGAAAGAGCGATGAGGAAGACCAGGGGAGGCACGATGAACGACGGCAACGCGCGCGGAGGCACGGTGCGCGGAGGCTTGATGCGCGGAGGCATGGTGCGCCGCAAGGAGATGACGCGAAATGGATGGCGAAGCGCGCAGCGATGGCGGGGGTGGCGGATGGGAGCGGCAGCAAGAGAGTGCGCGGCTCACGTGACGCGGCTGACTCACGTGACGCGGTTGACTCACGTGACGCGGTTGACTCACGTGACGCGGTTGACTCACGTGACGCGGTTGACGCTCCATTTGAAGGAGCGCAGCAGCAGCGCGGCGGCGGAGTCGGAGACGTTGAGGAAGCTCACAATCTCGCGCACAAGCCGCGCCTGTTTTTTCACGATGTCCGCCTCCGACAGCACCTGCAACGGTTGAGAACGGTTGGGACAGGCTTTTGAGTCGACTCAAACGTGGACTCGGAGACGTTAAGGGAGCTCACGATCTCGCGCACAAGCCGCGCCTGCTTCCGCACTATGTCCGCCTCCGACAGCACCTGCAACGGTCGGGATCGGTTGGTGCCGGTGGCGACATTCGCGCGGCCGTTGGTGGTGCCGGCGTTATGGCGAGGGGAGGGAGAAAGCAGAGGCGGGAGAGCGGAAAGAGGTGTGAGAACGAACAGTGGCCGGCGAAAGCGAGGAGCCGAACTACGCACGTGCAGCGCAGCGCAGCACGGGGGGGGTTACGGGTGAAAGCGACTCGCCTTGTACTGGCTGTCGTTTCCTCGCGGGGTGTCCGCCTCTTGCACCTCCTCCTCCTCAACCACCCCTTGCGTATCCTCCTCCACCTCTTCCTCCGACTCTTCCTCCTCCTCATCCCCGTAATTATCTCCGTCATCGTCGCCGTCATCGTCGCCGTCCTCGTCGCCGTAGTCCTCGTAATCGCTTGCGCCGTCCTTCACCTCGCCCTGCTCGTCGTCCCCCCCTGCGCGCACCTCTACCACCTCGTCGTCCGCCATGCCTCCGCGCGTGCCAACCCTCCCCGCGCACCACCGTCGCTCGCTCCGCCGCGTGACTCGCGCGCGGGGCGGAAACGGAGTCAGATGCAGGTGCAGTGCAAATAAATTCTTGGCGTTCGCAGGCAAAACTGCACAGGCGGACGAACGGACTTAGGTATAAGTGATGGAAGAGAAAAGTGACAAGCCGAGCCCAATGCCCTAGGGAACTGATGAAACGTTTTTAGGGTTCGATGATGGGGGAATAATGGCGCGGGGCGGGTGCGGCGAATGCGTCCACGAGTTGTTTGAGGGGTGCTTTATCGGGGACGTGTTAGCGGGTCAGCGTGTGATGATAAGACTGATATACGTAGCCCTCAAATAGACCAGTTTCAGGTCAAGTACTCGTGGTACCTGCCTGGTATTCAGGAATAGTAAAAAAGCTTTTGTTCCGTCTTACAAAACACTTCTCCGTCAACCCACATTCTCCACGGTAGTACCTGACACAACTCCCACGCTTCTGTTGCAACCAGACCTGTAGAAAGAGCAGAGGGCCAGTCACACGTGGTCCGTCCACTTTCAGGCTGTGAAATGCCTGTCACTAGCATGGTGCAAAGGCACCCAGGGTTCAATTATATACAGACGCCATACACATATGGGCCACGTGAAGGTTATTCGTGTTACAGGTAACTCCTCGGTCGCTAATAGAATGTGGGCCACATGAAGGCTTTCTTGCTGGCCACACACTGAATGGCTCGTGAGTCGTGAGAATCCCTAACTTGTAGCCCTGTCACGGGGGGGCCTATCTACAGCCACCACTGTCACCATCAGCATTAATATCTGCACTTCCATCACCACTGCCATCTGCACTGCCATCACTGCTCTCCTCTGCGTGCCCGCCATCAGTTGCACCCCCAGAACCAGCAGCACGTTGCCATTTGGCAGCGGCACGGCTGAATGCCTGCTCCAGAGACAAGGCACCGGTTAAACCTGTGCCTGCTGCCCCGCCCTGCTCCTCCTCCTCCCGTTGCTGCTGCTGCTGCTGCTGCTGCTGTTGCCATTTCTCCTGCAGCTGTGCTATGGCCATGGCTGCTGCCTCTGCCACCTCCGGATCGGCATCGTTTGTCAGCTTCTGAGAATGAAAGAGGAGTACACACATGGTAAGAGTGAGAACATGAATGCTACAACCATGAATATACAGTGCTACTCAACATGCGATACAACTCATGCATGTACACCACATTCATCTATACGATTGCACTGGCACCACTACCCTTTGTCACATGCGAAGCTCCAACAGACCCTCATAGCGTTCCCTCACCCTGCACCACTCCCCTCACCTGCACCACTCCCCTCACCTGCACCACTCCCCTCACCTGCACCACTCCCCTCACCTGCACCACTCCCCTCACCTGCACCACTCCCCTCACCTGCACCACTCCCCTCACATGCACCACTCCCCTCACCTGCACCACTCCCCTCACCTGCACCACTCCCCTCACCACTGACCTGCAGCACGGCGCAGCCGGCATTCCCGAGGGAGGAGAGGGAGGGCGCGCTGGAGAGGGCGTCAACGGCCGTGAGGCGCAGCGCCGCGTGGGGGGAGGCGCAGCAGCGGTGCAGCAGAGCCAGGCCGTAGCTGCTGCTCACCTCGCCCATGTCCACCAGTGCTGCCAGCAGGAAGCCCAGCTGGGGGGAAGAGGGGGCAAGGCGAGGAGAGGGGAAGGAGAGAAGAGGAAAAGGGCACGAGAGAGAAGTGGGAGAGAGTTAGAGGGGCGTGAGCTGCTGCTCACCTCGCCCATGTCCACCAGCGCTGCCAACAGAAAGCCCAGCTACGGATGGTGGGGAGGGGGAAAGGAAGAGAACGGGAGGGAGGGGGGGAAGAGGGAAAGAGGAGGAGCACGATAATGCGAGAGGACACAGCACAGCAGGAAAGGGAGCAATAAGGGGCACAGCGGGAAAAGGTAGGCGGGAGAGGCGAGGGGGACGCAGATGCAGCAAAGAAGGGGCAGTGCGGTGGGTGTGCTTGTGCTGACCTCCTCTGTGGTGCTGTCGTCGCCCCCCACTCCCAGCACTCCCCACTCCTCCTCCTCCCCGTCCTCCTCCCCCTCCACTGGTGCGAGGGAGTGCGGGCCGATCTCACGGTACAGCTCCTGCACACACACACAGAGAGGATTCAGTAGACACATGACAGGTGATGCGGAGTGTGTCCACAATGCCATGGTGCCATGACATGAAGCGATGGCATGAGGCAATGGTGACATGCGGTAGTCTACCGCCGGTAGACAGGAGGGCACTAGTGAAAGAACGGGTGCGAGCGGCGGCAACAAGGATGAAGTGCTTGGGCATGGCCTTTGAAGGTTTAGGAAAGGACACAAGGGATGGCTGGAGGCAAGGCACATACGTCAAGTGCAGCAAGCGTCTTGAACGACAGTGTGGATAGCGGATGCTGCCGCTGACGTGGAGTTAGGGGATTCGTGCTCACAGACCTCCTTTCCTCCCCATCCTCCTCCAATCTACTCCCCTCTGCACCCTCGCTCTGAGAGTCCATCAAAGGACGCGATTGTGAGGAAGATGGTGGGACGGCGGCTTGGCTGGAGTAGGGGGTGGATACAGCTGAACTGTCTTGAAGGGGTGTCGATGGGTTCAAAGCGGTGCTGCTTCTTCTTGAGGTGGTGGCAGGAGTGTTGGAGGGTGTGGAAGCAGGGGTGGAAGGGGCGGTAGAGGGAAGGACGTCGGGGCGAAGCAGTGTGACTATAGCGGAATGAAGGCTCTTCACCACCTGCTTGTGACAATAGGGAATACGGGCAAGCAGGACACAGCATGGGGGGCCGAGAGGGTTGATTGGATGCAGCATGAGAGGGATGGTGTGGGGCGATGCCATGGGGGATGGGTCAGCATGTGCACTCAGCAGGTATGCGCATACATGGATGGGAGATGCGAGTCCCGCACACACACACATCGGTATTCATAGTCTGTGGAAGAACAGCGGGTACGGCATGGGTGCACGCAGTACAATCACCACACTACAGGGCATGAGAGCACCTGCAGAGCCAGGAAGACGTCTTCTAGCCCTCGCCGCCTCATGCGCATGTCAGCCAGCCGCAAATCCGCCTGCCATGCCATGCCACGCCATTCCATACCATGCCAAAAGGGGGGTGGTAGAATGAAATGCACGAGGGTTCAGGGTGTATCATTCGTTTTGAAGGCTGGAACGGAGAAAGAATCTGGGTAAGCATAAACGGCACCCACTCCGACTCCCAAGCAGCCCGCATGAAACATGTCACATGAAATATGGCGCATGACACATGACTGAATGCTTACCGCGAGGGCGCCATCTCGCCAGTGCTGTGCGGCCTGCCGGCTCAACTCCTCGCGTGCACTCTCCTCCAACCCCTGCACCCACGGCCCCACACCAGCACACACCACACCCCACGCCCACACGCTCGTTAGCCCATGCACAGAAAGCCCCCCAATTCCAGCCCACTGATAGCAGGCCTGGCTTGGAATTTGCAAGGATTCGGTGGCAGAGGCTGAATTGCTACAGGTGAGAATCGACATGCATGTGCTTCCTGGTGCGCACTGAATCTGATGCTCCTCGCGTCTCCCCCACCCCCCCACCCTCCCTCCTCCCCCGCACCTGTTCCTGCCACCTGTCCTACCAGCGCCAGGTGTCGCAGGCGCCTCACTCGCAGCCGCGCGCGCGCATCCAGCACGCCCGCGTCCTCCCGCGCCCTCGCTGCTCACATGGCGGGCAAGGCCCGGCGGACATTGGGAGGGGATGGGAGCAAGGGACGACGGGAATGACGGCAAGCTATTAAGATTATGGGAGAGGATGAGGGGACGCGAACCGCGGAGAGGAACAGAATCCGGCGGGCGAGCGTGAAGAAGAACTTGCGGGATACGGGACGTTCCGTCGAATGAAAGGAGCTCCACCGTCAAACCGGCCAAATTACCGGCGAGCGGTGAAATCTACCGTCGAGCGTTTGGAATCTACCGGCGAGCGCTGGAAACGTACCGTCGAGCGTGAGGAACTTGGATCCCAGCAGCGCCACGTCCTCGCGCGCCCTCGAGTCCAGCGACCAGAACCCCCTGTCAGGGCACCGGTGCACACGGAGAGGGCAGTTCATCGGAGGGGATTTTATGGCGAGAGTGAGTGGGGACGACACGAGCGGGAGCGAGACGGCGGCCAGCAAGTGCGATCTCAAGCCGTCTCCGAGCTGAACCAAGAAGAATAGCAAAGGTGAACCGAGGTCGCTTAGCGATCTTTCTAGAGGTCAATGGTGTTCCATGTACCGATAGCGCTTGGGTGACGTCAACGAGAAAGACATTCAGCAGCTATGGAAGGGAAGAGGGACCTGGCAAGCAGAGTGGCGTCCTTGCGCGCGAATTGAGCGGCCGTCGTGAGGCCTATCAGGCACGGCGGGGCTTCGCCATCGCTGGCGCGCCCTCCCGCACCCGCGGATGCGCATATCGGACAGTCGGAACCGCAGCCTGACTGCAGGAAGTCGCACCCTCCCACGCCCATTCCCGCGCTCACGTCCGCATCAGGTGAGCCCGAATTCGCGAGAATTTCTCGGATCTGCTGTCTGTTGTCTGATACGCTAGCCAATATGCCGTCAATGTCGCTCGCTCCCTCCTTGCCAAACGCCCTAACGCAGACTCTCGGCTCACGGGTCGACGCGTGTTGGAAGAACCGCTCTCTCGATCCCACGCATCCTGATTTCGCGTGCACACCCCCAATCGCCTCGCCCCAAAATGGTGAAATTCGCACGAGACTCGAGACAGGATTGCTAATGGTGCAAGCAGGTCGCACGTCGTAGTGAAATGCGAGCCGCGCTCCCCCAAGCGCAGCCGTCACCTGGCACGGAAGGCCTGCCATGGCTAGCGAAGAGGCTGGGAGCTTGCGGGAGGCTGCGAGAGTCAATAAGGCTAAGAGCCGATTCGTCGTGAATCGTGGAGTTATTTGCGTTTCGTGCAGTGCAGAGGGAGTGATGTATGCTCTGCCTTGCGTAGTGTGGGCAAGAATGGTTGAGGCTGAGGAGGGCAGATGCAGGGCGGGAGATTATGAAAGAATTTTCAGGGAGGGAGGGCAGAATCAAGGGCTACGTGGCAACTCCCTGAAACCCGCGAGGGATACGATTGGACGAAAATGTTTGGCTTGGAAGACCAATACGATTTCCTGATTGCGAAGGTACAGATTGAGAAGAATTTAGGTCTACATTGAGGCGAAACAAATGTTTTGTCAATCATCAAAACCGAAACCAATGTTTTCTTCTATCCATAAACAATACTTCTGATCCGAACACGTGTTCTGGGGTTATAATGATGTAAGCACCTGATTCGACAAATAACGTAGCCACAAAACGGAAGCCACACCACCATCCATATTGATGGAAGTTGTGGTTCAGAATCACGATCTATGAGTTCGTCAGCGAAAAATCTTGCAGTGGCACTAAGTCTAAGTGGAGTGGGAATGCAGAAAATGTCCCCGATACAACAAACACATGTACCGTGAGGAGATGTACGTTGGCGTTTATAAGTTACATAAATATCCTCAAACCATCATTTCGTCCCTGCACATGAAAGCAGAAGGGTCATACATCTAGCCAACAAAGAGGCAGTAAACCACAAACCACCAATTTAACTCACCAGGCGTCATCAGTGTCAAGGACGAGGCATGTTATACTCTTTTGCCCCCTGCATTTACACATGTCATGCACGCATATATTATAAATGCAATGGGAAGAGGAGAAGAGTCACATGGGGGGCACATGAGCGTACAAACAGACTATATGTATGTGCATGCACACACACATATAAGACGGTAATCCACAGATTCAGTTTTTCAAAAGCCCTACTATGACTCACGTTGGAACTGGCTTCATGCAGGACCGCATCACCTCGCCGTCAAGCTCAATAATGCAAACATCACATTGCCCTGTGAGGCAGAAGCGGTTATCAATCGTCAAGGCACCTGCGTCGACAGCCGCCTTTAGCAGACTGGAACCCTCCTGGGAAAAAAATATCGGGCGGGGGTGCAGTGTGTTGGAAATAAGCAAGCTGTGTCTGGGAAAATCGTGAGGGGAGTAAGGAGGCAGGACAAGGTAAAACGTTCGGAGTGTGCACTAAAGCAACACGAATGACTGCGATCCCCTGATTTCTACATTTCGGCTGCATGAAAGGATATGTATGGGCTGAACGACGAAAAATGGAGTTTACTTTGTGTTAAAAACCAGCACTCACAAAGCAGAAGTGATTGGGCCACAGCCTATCCATTTTCTTCCCTGAAACTAGCTCCACGCTTTCGTTTCCTAGCTCCGTTCTTCCCACGAATTCGACATTCTCGTCCTGATTCTGATTCTCACTGTGCGACCCATATGTTCACAAAGTCACCGCGAGACGAGAGATATTTGGCGTTGCATGTACTCACCGGCGCGCTGCAGGTGTCGCCATACGGCTCCCACGTGATCTCCACCATGGGCCCGTCCACCACATTGTCGTTCAGAAACGCGCCCTCGGGCAGACTAGGGGAATTTAAGTGGGCATCGATGAGAGGACGGAGGAGACAAGGGTTAACGCCACGCTGAAATGACATTGCGATCTGAAAAGCAGAAGAGTGGGAGGTTCAAGCGTTGGTCTACAAGGGCAAGGATCTGTACAAAGACTCACGAAGCATGACGTTCCCGCTATTGCTTCCCTATTCTGCTTTGCTCAAAAGATTGCTTTCTCATTCTGCGTAGCGCTTTCCTTCCTCTCACCCTCTCTCCTTGCCAGTGGCGGCCGCCAGAAAGAACTCCTCTCGCAGCTCGGCACCCGTCTTCTTCCGCTCGCCCCCCGCTGCCTCTGCTCTCACCGCCAACGACGCTGGCCGGCCATGGGACACCTAACAGAGGCATTGCGGTGGCAAGGTTAAGGCGGCGGGACCATCGGATGGTGCAGTGTTCAGAATGCCACGAAAAAATCGCCTACCTGACAAGCCGGAACTGCCGTACTTCTAACCCTATGACCTGCAAGCGGAAGAAATAAACAACTTCGCCTTTAGGCTGCTGCTCGTTTCTATTATACAGCTGTGAAGCAAGTTCCAGCAACTCACCAATGAACGCATTGCTTTGCAGCTTAACAGACACATTTCCGAGCGAAGTTATGGCAGCCATGAGAAAGATCAGTCAGTGAGCAAATTAGTCTTGAAATGGAAGTGGCTGCTGAGGCAGCAGGTTCCTGGTCTTTGGTTGCTGTGGACTTGTGTGGAATGATGACAGCAAAGCGATAATACGATGAGAATTTGCTTATGGCGGCTGTGCTTGTAGCTTGGCGTGGGTTGATTGACGATGATCACACACACCCATTCGAGTGCCGTGTCGCTCTCAGAAGGCACAGAAAGTGACAGAGTTCTCCACGTGTTGGCAATACACTGGATGCAGAATCTGTTGTTGCTTCCCAGACGTCCAAGATGTGAGTATCGGATTGCGCAATTGCCATGTCATCAGAACAGCATTCTGGAACTGACATCGTCATTGGTTGCAACTCGGTCGGCCCGCATTCGTCATGTACGCACACAGATTTGTGATTTGAAATACTGTAATGGTTGTTGTGATGAGAGTGTAGAACTAAACGGGATTCATTACATCACAATTGACAAGGGATCCACGCCATGCCAGCTGCGATGGAGAACGGTTCTGGCTTTTCGCAGCAGCGAGCGACCGCAATACCCATGCGATCCAGCGAATAGTGGAGACCCATGTGCAGGTTGTGGCACACCCCAAGCCCCACCCGCGTCGCAGGTGCGCATTCACACAGTTTCTGGAGGTCGTCAAATCAGCCTGTAACTCGCAGCCATCAACGGCTACAAACTGTTAGGTCTCTGACTTTGACGGCTTCGATCGATTTCAGATATTCCTTTCGCAGACCGCAGGTTGTGCTGGTTTGATCGTCACCAGGAAATAGAGAGGTCCAGGGCAAGGCCATCTGGCGGCCTTTGCGCAATGGCGCGCCACCAACCATAGAAATCGAAATTGGGACGGAGAAAAGGTGGATGGGGGAGGGGACACGACGTCTTCTGCGCACCCCCTGCATCCCTCCCAGGTGTATTTGTGGGGCAGACAGGATCCCAACCATCGCAACCCATCTTCTCCCACCGCATTCCAACGCATCCCACATCTCGACGCGAACCCTGAGCCATCCCTCCTCAGCCTGTCTTCAGTGTCCGCTCTATTCTCTTCACCTGTCTTGCCCTCTGTTTCGGCTCTCAGTTTTCAACACGCAAGACACTGTCCTTCCTAGACTCAGCAACTCTGGTTACGAATTCCCCTAGCATATATATATCCACACACACGTCTGACTAATTTCCTGGCTACACTCATGGCTTCAGCTCGCCGTTATTGCGTCGTAGCACTCATAGTTCTCATAGCTCTCACCAACTCCAGACTAGGTCTAGCAGCAGCGGAGCAGCGGCCAATAGCGTCTTTCTTCGGCGATCCGCACTTCGAGGGCGCAGATGGCGTCCATTTCCGATTCACCGGCGTCCCCGGCGAGGCCTACTGCCTGCTCTCCGACCCCTCGCTGCACATCAACATGGAAATGGCCGGCGACTCGGGTAGTCTAGGCGACGATTCAGTCAGTTCAGGCGGCGATGCTAGCATAACACCAGGCGCCACGCAACGCACATGGGTCAAGGCGATAGGTGTGCTCGTGGCCGGCCACTCGCTGCAGCTCAGAGCGCGACAGGGGGCAGACGCGTCGCTCGGCGACGGATTCTTGCAGTCGATAGTGTTAGACGGCGTCGCGCAGCGATTGTCGCCGTCGCACATCCTAGAGAGCGACGACGGCGCGCTAAGAGTGCACCACGTGGGGGTCACCGAATCAAACGGCGTGGAAACCGAGACTCTCAGAATACAGTCCGGTGGCCGGCAAGGGGCGGACTTCCTTGTTCATATTAGGCCAGAGGCCGTCGACCGACAATCAGCAGCCGACGCGTTTGTGCATTTCTCGGTGGAGGTGTTATCTGGGGGCGGGTTGACCGACCCGCACGGCGTGATGGGGCAAACGTTCCGGAGTTCCCAGAAGGAGCGATCTTTCGCGGTAAGCCTGCAGTGGAGCCGCGACGCGCAGGCGTGGGAGGTGGCAGGAGTTAACGGCGACGGCTATCTTGACGGCTCCGTCGAGAGTTACCGGTCGTCCAGCCTCGTCGCCGCGGATTGCGCGTTCTCGCGGTTCAAGGCGGCGGAAGGAGTTGTCGGCGAGCGGAGAGAGGAGAGCGACGGATCGTGGGCGGTGGCGGAGATGATGGGGGAGGGGGAGGACGCGGAAGGCGCGGGGGATGTAGGTCCGGGGATCGCGAGTGCGGTGGGGCGCAGACTGCTGGGCGAGAGGAGACTCCGCGAGTGATGCGCGCGGCGGCCGGTGGTGCAGCTGTTGCTCGAGACTGCCAGGGATGCTGGCGAGGCACCGTTGACTGGCTTTAGGGACCGAGCTGGTCGCCAGTAGCCTTCATTGGTTACTGAGATACCGCATTCAAGGGATATGCACTACTTCCCGGGCTCGTACTGGTTGGGATTGGGACCTACGGTCGAGGAAAGACGCTGAGCTGAGGGTGTGAAGTAGCCCTTAGGCCACTGTGATGGTGGTTGTGTGTGCCATAGGTAAATTATGTACAATGGATTTGTTTGTACCATGATGACAAGTTGAAAGGCTTGCCCATTGAGGCAACGACTCACCCAACCCTACACCATGGTTGTGACGTATCTGGAACTTAGCAAGATCCGCTCGTGGGTTGCTCTGGTTTCTCTGCTGCTGGATTGCTGGGGGCTCCGCTGATGGATTTGTTGGGTTAGGGAAGCATGTGGAGTGGCGCAGGTAGCACCCATGCATGTGCAACGGGGCAATGAAAAGCCAACTCACAATAAGCCAACAAGGAATTGGACAAGCAATAGGGCAGGCAACAAGAATGTACAGCTAGCTTGGCAATGGCATGCTATCTTCTCACACCGAGCCTGAATCGACCACCCTGCACTGCACCAAACTTAGCCACTGAAACCGCCTGCCCATGTCCCGCCACCCCTCTCACCCCTGCCTCCACACTCACACCGCTTCCTCTCCCCTGGCCTGCCGGCACCACCACCTTCCGGGGCTGCCCCCCTGCATTGATCACTCGCACCACTGTGCTGCTGCGCGCCCCTGCCTGCTCCCCACCTGCACCCTGCACGCCCACCGCCTGTGTGCGGCCGAACCTAGGAGCCAGGTCCGCATCGGTCGGTGTGTACTGGTGTGTCACTGCACCCCCAGGCGTTGGGGCGGCATCTTCTGGCGTGTACTGGTGTGTCCCTGCGCCACTGTGTCCCCCCCTGTCTCCTGGAGACGGCCCTGCTGATGCCTCTGCTCCTCCTGCCTCTGCCATGGGCTCTCTTGCTGATCCCTCTGCTGGCCCCCTCACGTCTGCTGCACCTGCTGTGGAGCAGGGAGGGCAGGCTGGAGGAGAGGCTGCTGTGGTGGGGAGACGAGAGCCATGCGGAGTTGCTGGGTTTTCAGGTGTGGCTGCGGCCGCTGCAGCAGCAACTGAAGCGAGTGGCAGGGATGGTGGTGGTGATGGGGGAGGTGAAAGTGAGAGTGAGAGTGATGATGATGGTGATGGTGGTGGTTGTGCGGGTTGGCATGGCAGCAAGCCACAAAAGGACAAGCCCAGCCATGAGGCTGCCCGTGAGTGTGTCCTCCTGCGCGCCCCCAGCCCCCCAGCTACTGCTGCTTGCGGCCCTTTAGAACCTGGTGCCACTGCCGCGGCCTCTGGCCCTCCCTGCTCTGATGCCACTGTTTCCATCACTGCACCGTGTGCTGCCACTGGTGTTGCTAGCTGTGCTGCACTGTCCATCCTCGTTGCAACCGCGCTTGCACCCTCTGCTGCCTGTTCTGACCCTCCTGTGCTCGCTGATGCCCCTGTGCTCGCTGATGCCCCTCCTGCCTCTCTAACTCTGCCTTCCCCCGTTACATCTGCTGCATCCGCACCCTCCTCACCTGCACAACCTGCTTCCCGTTCAACAGCATCACCCTCCACCCCACTACACTCCCCCTCACCGCACCGCAGTCCTCCCTCCACGTCCCTCACACCACAGCCGCCCTCCCCCACACCACCACCACCATCCCCTGCTTCCTTCCCCTCTTCCCTCCCAATCCGCACCCCATCAGCAGCCCCCCACCCCCCCTTCAGCCTGAGGCGCCTGGCAGCCCGCACATGGCGAGGCTCAGGGGACGCCATGCCGGGGGGGAGAGCAGCAGATGCATGGGATGCATGGGATGCATGGGATGCGGGCATAGGGGCATCGGGAGTCATGGGGGTGATGGGGGGCATGGGCGTGTACGGGGACATGGATGCTGATTTGCTGATGGGGCGGCGCAGGGCAGGGGAGGAGGAGAGGGAGAGGGCGAGGGAGTCAAAGGGAACGCGCATGCTCCCTCCAAGCCTCCTCAGTCTCAACCACGCCCCGCTCTCCCGCACTCCCACCCCACCCCCTTCCTCCCCGCCTTCCTCTACTCTCTCCCCCTCCTCCCCTCTTCCTCCACCCTCCTCCGCCCCGTCTCCATCCCCACGTGCACTGGGTGTGCTGGCTGCACTAGCTGCGCGCCTCTCCCTCCCCCCACCTTCCCGCTGCCTCCTCCGCTTGGGCCCAATGCCCTCTCCCCCGCCCCCACCCCCGCCACTCATGCTGCTCTCGCCGCCACCGCTGCTGCTGCTGCTGCTGCTGCTGCTGCTGCTGCTGCTGCTGCTGCTGCTGCTGCTGCTGCTGCTGCTGCTGCTGCTGCTGCTGCTGCTGCTGCTGCTGCTGCTGCTGCTGCTGCTGCTGCTGCTGCTGCTGCTGCTGCTGCTGCTGCTGCTGGGCCGACTCACACTCCTTCCCAGGGGTAACCGCAGCGACGCAGACACTGACGAGCCTGACCGCACCGGCCCGGCCGAGCCTGACCGCACCGGTCCTGCCGAGCCTGGCCGCACAGGCACGGAGCCGGTGCGGGCGAGCGAGCGTGAGTGGCGGGCGAATTGCAGGTCCGCCACGGCTGCTGCTGCCTGCTCGTCCGTGCGTGCATACACCTTGCGCCCCGTGCGCGAGGGCAGGGCGAGGCTGGGCGCGTGAGCGTGGGGGAGTGGAGGGGGAGGGTTTCCGGGTGCAGTGGTGGTGGTGGTGGTGGTGGTGGTGGTGGTGGTGGTGGTGGTGCGAGGTGAGAAGGGTGAGAGCGCTCGTGTCTTGCGCCGAAACTCCTCTCCCTGAGAGGACGACAGAGCAGAGAGGGGTGCGGGTGGGAGGGAGACATGAGGGCAATGAGAATGGCTTGATTTGTCATGGCACGGGGTGGCATGTTTAGTGAAGAGGAATTAAAGCGCTCATGGGAGTGGAGGGGTGAGATAGCATAGCACATGCCACATGCAGGCAGATAAGCTGCACTCACTGCTCGCGCCATGCGTCAGACAAGATACGAGAACTCACGGCTCGTGCCATGCGCGGGTGCATGAGCGCCAGGAAGTGCTGCTGCTGCCCAATCACCGACCCCGGACGCACCAACCGCGTGTATGCTATGGCCTGGTTGGGAGTGCGACGAGGTAGAGGGTGGGGGGGGCGTGAGGGTGCGAGGGCGTGTGAGGGTGCGAGGGCGTGAGGGTGAGAGGGGGTGATTGTGTGAGGGCATGAGGGTATGAGGGTATGAGGGTGTGAGGGTGTGAGGGTATGAGGGTATGAGGGTGTGAGGGTGTGAGGGTATGAGGGTATGAGGGTGTGAGGGTGTGAGGGTATGAGGGTATGAGGGTGTGAGGGTATGAGGGTATGAGGGTGTGAGGGTGTGAGGGTATGAGGGTATGAGGGTGTGAGGGTGTGAGGGTATGAGGGTATGAGGGTGTGAGGGTATGAGGGTATGAGGGTGTGAGGGTGTGAGGGTATGAGGGTATGAGGGTGTGAGGGTGTGAGGGTATGAGGGTATGAGGGTGTGAGGGTATGAGGGTATGAGGGTGTGAGGGTGTGAGGGTATGAGGGTATGAGGGTGTGAGGGTGTGAGGGTATGAGGGTATGAGGGTGTGAGGGTATGAGGGTATGAGGGTGTGAGGGTGTGAGGGTGTGAGGGGATGCCATGTGCATGAGAAGCATGGCATGCTGTGAGATACGTGCTGCTCTGTCTACCACTGCTTGCCCCAAGCACTCTCACTATGCTCCATCACCTCTCTGGCCGTCATGCCGCAGTGCTTCATAAGGTAGCACCCCACCAGCACCCCCGTGCGCCCCAGACCCGCCTGGAGAAGCAGCATGAATGGAGAGGGGCAGCATGGATGGAGAGGGGCAGCAGGAATGGAGAGGGGCAGCAGGAATGGAGAGGGGCAGCATGAATGGAGAGGGGCAGCATGAATGGAGAGGGGCAGCAGGAATGGAGAGGGGCAGCAGGAATGGAGAGGGGCAGCATGAATGGAGAGGGGCAGCAGGAATGGAGAGGGGCAGCATGAATGGAGAGGGGCAGCATGAATGGAGAGGGGCAGCAGGAATGGAGAGGGGCAGCATGAATGGAGAGGGGCAGCATGAATGGAGAGGGGCAGCATGAATGGAGAGGGGCAGCATGAATGGAGAGGGGCAGCATGAATGGAGAGGGGCGGCGGAAGGGAGATTGGGAAGAGGGGAAGGGGGAAAGGGGAGAAGGAGAGCGGAGGGAGAAAGAGGTGAGAGAGTGAGAGTGCTAGTGTGGAGCGGTTTAGTGCAGCCAAGTGAGACCGACAAAGCCTTGAACGCAATTCAGAGGGGTGCCTGGCAAGGCACAGCGGAGCAGCAGGCGTGCCAAGCCAGCAATGCAGATAGTGGAACGGACGGGAGAAGCAGGAAAGAGAAGCGGGTAAGGGAGAGGCACAGCACCTTGCAGTGGATGGCAACGGGCCCGTTGCTGCCCTCCACCACGGCGAAGAAGCGCTCCACTATGCCATCCGAGGGGGCGCTGACGGTGGGGGGAGGGAAGGAGGGGGTTGGGGGACAGATTGCAGCGCAGCGATGGGACGCGTGGAGGTTTGAATTGAGTCGAGGCCCGTTGCTGCCCTCCACCACGGCGAAGAACCGCTCCACTATGCCGTTGGAAGGGGCGCTGATGGTGGGGGGGAGAAGGGGAGAGAAGGAGGGGAATGGGAGGTAAGTGAGTCAAAGGTCAAAGTGAGAAGGAGGGGAATGGGAGCACTTACCCGCCGTCAGGGAAGTAGAGGTCGTAGAAGGCAAAGCCATGGCGGGTGAATCGCCTCTTGTCGTACACGCGCCTGTTGAGGCGGATTATGGCTGCTATGCCCGCCTGGATGCGTGCACTCATGCACACACACACACACACGCACGCACGCACGCACGCACGCACGCACGCACACACACACACACACACACACATTGATAAACACATGCACACATACACACATTGCACACACAGACATATTCGTTTGGTTGTGTAGCAACAGGGCCAGTGAAACCAGTGAAACCAAGTGCAGTCAGACTTGGTGTGGCTGCACCGAGAGAGGGATGGTTGCGCTCTCTAAAAAGCTTCCTCAGCAGGAAGGGAGGGACCCACAAGCAAGCGCTCCCTTGGGAAGCTCACCTGTCGAAAGTACTGCACATAGTCCTCTGGCGTGAGATAGCCCTCCTGACAGGGGCAGGTGCATGCAGGCGGTAGCATGGAGTGGGGGGGTGCAGGGAGGGGCAGTGGGAATGGTGGGATAGTGGCATCGAGAGCGGTGTGCAGTGGAGTGCAGTGCAGTGGATATTAGCAATAGTGGGGCGTTTGAGTTGCAAGGGCGTGTTGGTGGTGGCACAGACACATGGCAGTATATCAATCACACGACAGCTTGCCACACGACAGCTTGCCACACGACAGCTTGCCACACGACAGCTTGCCACACGACAGCTTGCCACACGACAGCTTGCCACACGACAGCTTGCCACACGACAGCTTGCCACACGACAGCTTGCCACACGACAGCTTGCCACACGACAGCTTGCCACACGACAGCTTGCCACACGACAGCTTGCCACACGACAGCTTGCCACACGACAGCTTGCCACACGACAGCTTGCCACACGACAGCTTGCCACACGACAGCTTGCCACACGACAGCTTGCCACACGACAGCTTGCCACACGACAGCTTGCCACACGACAGCTTGCCACACGACAGCTTGCCACACGACAGCTTGCCACACGACAGCTTGCCACACGACAGCTTGCCACACGACAGCTTGCCACACGACAGCTTGCCACACGACAGCTTGCCACACGACAGCTTGCCACACGACAGCTTGCCACACGACAGCTTGCCACACGACAGCTTGCCACACGACAGCTTGCCACACGACAGCTTGCCACACGACAGCTTGCCACACGACAGCTTGCCACACGACAGCTTGCCACACGACAGCTTGTCACACGACAGCTTGTCACACGACAGCTTGCCACACGACAGCTTGCCACACGACAGCTTGCCACACGACAGCTTGCCACACGACAGCTTGCCACACGACAGCTTGCCACACGACAGCTTGCCACACGACAGCTTGCCACACGACAGCTTGCCACACGACAGCTTGCCACACGACAGCTTGCCACACGACAGCTTGCCACACGACAGCTTGCCACACGACAGCTTGCCACATGACAGCTTGCCACACGACCCCATGTACCATCACGTCACACTATGCAACCCACCATGCCGCCCCCATGCCCTCATACCGCCTTGGCACTCCAGCATGCCACTCGTCCACCACCATGCCCCCATGCCCCCGTGCCCCCATGCCCCATGCCCCATGCCCCCATGTCCCCGTGCCCCCATGCCCCCATGCCCCCGTGCCCCCATGCCCCCATGCCCCCATGCCCCCATGCCCCCATGCCCCCATGCCCCCGTGCCCCATGCCCCCATGCCCCCGTGCCCCGTGCCCCCATGCCCCCATGCCCCCGTGCCCCCGTGCCCCCATGCCCCCATGCCCCCATGCCCCCATGCCCCCATGCCCCCGTGCCCCCATGCCCCCATGCCCCCATGCCCCCATGCCCCCATGCCCCCGTGCCCCATGCCCCCATGCCCCCGTGCCCCCATGCCCCCATGCCCCCATGCCCCCGTGCCCCATGCCCCCGTGCCCCATGCCCCCGTGCCCCCATGCCCCCGTGCCCCGTGCCCCCATGCCCCCATAGCACCACACCACCCACCATGATGCTAGCAGGGTCGTCAGCGGGAGTGCTGAAGGCGAGCAGCCGCCCCGGCACCATCCACGTGAGGTCCGCCTGCTCCAGCCGCTCGTACTCGCCCACCCTGAACCCCGCCAGCAGCCCCGCCCCCTGTGCGCGCTCTACCGCCTACAATGGGCGGGGATGGGAAACAGGGGAAGGAATGGGGGATGGGGTCACCAGGCCCCACCCTGAACCCTGTCACCAGGCCTCCCTGCTCTGCCCGCTCTAGCGCCTGGGTGGGGATGGGGGATGGGCAAATGGGGGATGGACACACATTTGTTGTCCCACACACACACCTTGCATGCCATACCGTGCCCCGCCCCGCACACACGCACCTGGCAGCAGTCGAGTGCGGTGATGTGGAAGGTGCACACGCCGTTAGACGCGTCCCTGAAGGGCGGCAGCGGCTCCAATGGACGCAGCACCGCATGGGCGGCATCGGCTGGCATGGCATGGCGCAGAATTAGATACGCTGCTAGCTGGGGGGAAGTGGGGCGGGAGGGTGGTGGGGGAGGGGAGAAGGAAGGGGGGAGCGTAGGGAGGGGCAAGGGGCAGGGTGGGGGAAAGGGAGGGGTTGGTGGGTGAGGGGAGGAAAAGAAGGGCGTTACAGGTGAAGCACTGGGCAAAGGCAGTGGCATGCGGGGAACAGCAGAGCACAGGCGCACAAGGGGAATAGACAGCGAGGTGGTGAGGTGCAGAGGGCTGGCGGTCGTGCAAGGGGGAGAGGGGCAAAAAGGGAGCGAGCAGTGAGGAGCAGAGGGGCGGGGGGAAGTGCAGGGAGGGGGCAGTGACGAGGGAGAGGGGCCAAAAGGGAGGGGGCAGTGACGAGGGAGAGGGGCCAAAAGGGAGGGGGCAGTGACGAGGGAGAGGGGCCAAAAGGGAGGGGGCAGTGACGAGAGAGAGGGGCCAAAAGGGAGGGGGCAGTGACGAGGGAGAGGGGCCAAAAGGGAGGGGGCAGTGACGAGGGAGAGGGGCCAAAAGGGAGGGGGCAGTGACGAGGGAGAGGGGCCAAAAGGGAGGGGGCAGTGACGAGGGAGAGGGGCCAAAAGGGAGGGGGCAGTGACGAGGGAGAGGGGCCAAAAGGGAGGGGGCAGTGACGAGGGAGAGGGGCCAAAAGGGAGGGGGCAGTGACGAGGGAGAGGGGCCAAAAGGGAGGGGGCAGTGACGAGGGAGAGGGGCCAAAAGGGAGGGGGCAGTGACGAGGGAGAGGGGCCAAAAGGGAGGGGGCAGTGACGAGGGAGAGGGGCCAAAAGGGAGGGGGCAGTGACGAGGGAGAGGGGCCAAAAGGGAGGGGGCAGTGACGAGGGAGAGGGGCCAAAAGGGAGGGGGCAGTGACGAGGGAGAGGGGCCAAAAGGGAGGGGGCAGTGACGAGGGAGAGGGGCCAAAAGGGAGGGGGCAGTGACGAGGGAGAGGGGCCAAAAGGGAGGGGGCAGTGACGAGGGAGAGGGGCCAAAAGGGAGGGGGCAGTGACGAGGGAGAGGGGCCAAAAGGGAGGGGGCAGTGACGAGGGAGAGGGGCCAAAAGGGAGGGGGCAGTGACGAGGGAGAGGGGCCAAAAGGGAGGGGGCAGTGACGAGGGAGAGGGGCCAAAAGGGAGGGGGCAGTGACGAGGGAGAGGGGCCAAAAGGGAGGGGGCAGTGACGAGGGAGAGGGGCCAAAAGGGAGGGGGCAGTGACGAGGGAGAGGGGCCAAAAGGGAGGGGGCAGTGACGAGGGAGAGGGGCCAAAAGGGAGGGGGCAGTGACGAGGGAGAGGGGCCAAAAGGGAGGGGGCAGTGACGAGGGAGAGGGGCCAAAAGGGAGGGGGCAGTGACGAGGGAGAGGGGCCAAAAGGGAGGGGGCAGTGACGAGGGAGAGGGGCCAAAAGGGAGGGGGCAGTGACGAGGGAGAGGGGCCAAAAGGGAGGGGGCAGTGACGAGGGAGAGGGGCCAAAAGGGAGGGGCAGTGACGAGGGAGAGGGGCCAAAAGGGAGGGGGCAGTGACGAGGGAGAGGGGCCAAAAGGGAGGGGGCAGTGACGAGGGAGAGGGGCCAAAAGGGAGGGGGCAGTGACGAGGGAGAGGGGCCAAAAGGGAGGGGGCAGTGACGAGGGAGAGGGGCCAAAAGGGAGGGGGCAGTGACGAGGGAGAGGGGCCAAAAGGGAGGGGGCAGTGACGAGGGAGAGGGGCCAAAAGGGAGGGGGCAGTGACGAGGGAGAGGGGCCAAAAGGGAGGGGGCAGTGACGAGGGAGAGGGGCCAAAAGGGAGGGGGCAGTGACGAGGGAGAGGGGCCAAAAGGGAGGGGGCAGTGACGAGGGAGAGGGGCCAAAAGGGAGGGGGCAGTGACGAGGGAGAGGGGCCAAAAGGGAGGGGGCAGTGACGAGGGAGAGGGGCCAAAAGGGAGGGGGCAGTGACGAGGGAGAGGGGCCAAAAGGGAGGGGGCAGTGACGAGGGAGAGGGGCCAAAAGGGAGGGGGCAGTGACGAGGGAGAGGGGCCAAAAGGGAGGGGGCAGTGACGAGGGAGAGGGGCCAAAAGGGAGGGGGCAGTGACGAGGGAGAGGGGCCAAAAGGGAGGGGGCAGTGACGAGGGAGAGGGGCCAAAAGGGAGGGGGCAGTGACGAGGGAGAGGGGCCAAAAGGGAGGGGGCAGTGACGAGGGAGAGGGGCCAAAAGGGAGGGGGCAGTGACGAGGGAGAGGGGCCAAAAGGGAGGGGGCACTGACGAGGGAGAGGGGCCAAAAGGGAGGGGGCAGTGACGAGGGAGAGGGGCCAAAAGGGAGGGGGCAGTGACGAGGGAGAGGGGCCAAAAGGGAGGGGGCAGTGACGAGGGAGAGGGGCCAAAAGGGAGGGGGCAGTGACGAGGGAGAGGGGCCAAAAGGGAGGGGGCAGTGACGAGGGAGAGGGGCCAAAAGGGAGGGGCAGTGACGAGGGAGAGGGCCAAAAGGGAGGGGGCAGTGACGAGGGAGAGGGGCCAAAAGGGAGGGGGCAGTGACGAGGGAGAGGGGCCAAAAGGGAGGGGGCAGTGACGAGGGAGAGGGGCCAAAAGGGAGGGGGCAGTGACGAGGGAGAGGGGCCAAAAGGGAGGGGGCAGTGACGAGGGAGAGGGGCCAAAAGGGAGGGGGCAGTGACGAGGGAGAGGGGCCAAAAGGGAGGGGGCAGTGACGAGGGAGAGGGGCCAAAAGGGAGGGGGCAGTGACGAGGGAGAGGGGCCAAAAGGGAGGGGGCAGTGACGAGGGAGAGGGGCCAAAAGGGAGGGGGCAGTGACGAGGGAGAGGGGCCAAAAGGGAGGGGGCAGTGACGAGGGAGAGGGGCCAAAAGGGAGGGGGCAGTGACGAGGGAGAGGGGCCAAAAGGGAGGGGGCAGTGACGAGGGAGAGGGGCCAAAAGGGAGGGGGCAGTGACGAGGGAGAGGGGCCAAAAGGGAGGGGGCAGTGACGAGGGAGAGGGGCCAAAAGGGAGGGGGCAGTGACGAGGGAGAGGGGCCAAAAGGGAGGGGGCAGTGACGAGGGAGAGGGGCCAAAAGGGAGGGGGCAGTGACGAGGGAGAGGGGCCAAAAGGGAGGGGGTAGTGACGAGGGAGAGGGGCCAAAAGGGAGGGGGCAGTGACGAGAGAGAGGGGCCAAAAGGGAGGGGGCAGTGACGAGGGAGAGGGGCCAAAAGGGAGGGGGCAGTGACGAGGGAGAGGGGCCAAAAGGGAGGGGGCAGTGACGAGGGAGAGGGGCCAAAAGGGAGGGGGCAGTGACGAGGGAGAGGGGCCAAAAGGGAGGGGGCAGTGACGAGGGAGAGGGGCCAAAAGGGAGGGGGCAATGACGAAGGAGAGGGGCCAAAAGGGAGGGGGCACTGACGAGGGAGAGGGGCCAAAAGGGAGGGGGCACTGACGAGGGAGAGGGGCCAAAAGGGAGGGGGCACTGACGAGGGAGAGGGGCCAAAAGGGAGGGGGCAGTGACGAGAGAGAGGGGCCAAAAGGGAGGGGGCAGTGACGAGGGAGAGGGGCCAAAAGGGAGGGGGCAGTGACGAGGGAGAGGGGCCAAAAGGGAGGGGGCAGTGACGAGAGAGAGGGGCCAAAAGGGAGGGGCAGTGACGAGGGAGAGGGGCCAAAAGGGAGGGGGCAGTGACGAGGGAGAGGGGCCAAAAGGGAGGGGGCAGTGACGAGGGAGAGGGGCCAAAAGGGAGGGGGCAGTGACGAGGGAGAGGGGCCAAAAGGGAGGGGGCAGTGACGAAGGAGAGGGGCCAAAAGGGAGGGGGCACTGACGAGGGAGAGGGGCCAAAAGGGAGGGGGCACTGACGAGGGAGAGGGGCCAAAAGGGAGGGGGCACTGACGAGGGAGAGGGGCCAAAAGGGAGGGGGCAGTGACGAGAGAGAGGGGCCAAAAGGGAGGGGGCAGTGACGAGGGAGAGGGGCCAAAAGGGAGGGGGCAGTGACGAGGGAGAGGGGCCAAAAGGGAGGGGGCAGTGACGAGAGAGAGGGGCCAAAAGGGAGGGGGCAGTGATGAGGGAGAGGGGCCAAAAGGGAGGGGGCAGTGACGAGGGAGAGGGGCCAAAAGGGAGGGGGCAGTGACGAGGGAGAGGGGCCAAAAGGGAGGGGGCAGTGACGAGGGAGAGGGGCCAAAAGGGAGGGGGCACTGACGAGCACGGCGGCGTTGGCCTTCTTGTGGGCCGCGCTGCTGCACACATGCACCACCCTCCTTGACAGCCCTCGTCCCTCCTGCAGCGAGGGGGTGAGCACACATGGTCAGAGGGCAGGGAATGGCAAGGGATGGCATCGTGTCGCATGGTTGGCATAGGCTAGCATGGATGGCAGGACATATGTTGGCATGGGCCGCATGGGATGGCATGGATTGGCATGGCACGGCACGGCAAAGCAAGGGGTATGCCATGCAATGAAAGGCAGCACACACGACACGACCCAGCTGCAGGACATCTAGCACTGATTGAACGCTCACAGCACCTGGAGCACCCAGTATCACCTGCAGGGCGCGGTCCATGGTGTCGCAGTAGCGGTGGATGCAGGCCAGGCTGAGCGGACCAAAGTCCATGCAGTAAGGCTCGTACACCTGGCGGGTTGGGGGCATGTGCGGGGAGAGGGGGCGGAGGTGATGGGGTGATAGGGGAGGGCTGGGGGATGGGAGCCGGCAGGGGAAGGGTGTCGATGGCTCGAAAAGTTGACCCCAAGCAGTTGCTGGAAAACAGCGTACTGCCTGCCCGTACCTCTGAGCAGCATTGCCGTCCACCTCACCATGTGCACCACTCGATTGCACTGCCATCTGACAGTAACACACCCATCAGCCAGCACCCTTTCCCCACCACCACCCATGCCCCAGCCCCGACACCTCCCACAGCACACAGCACGCACCAGCTCATCGTCGATGTTCACGCACACGGCGCCCCGCCCCCTCTCACTGCGCGCCACCAGCTGCGGTCGCCTGCACGCCACCAGACAAACCTCCCCGCCCAGCGCCTCACACCACTCGCCCTCACTGCTCCCCCCCTTCCCGCCATCAATCTCCCCCTCCCCCGACCTCCCCAGTATACCACCCTCCTTCCGCCCTTCGTCTGGCACTTTGCGCTCACCATTACCCTCCACCTCTCCACCATGCTCCCCTTTCTCCGCCTCCTTCTCCGCCTGCTTCTCCGCCTTCTGTTTCCCCCTGGCTGCTCCATCTTCCGCCTCCGCGCTTTCTCCCCGATTCTCGCATGCCGGAGATAATTCCACGGGCTCATTCGTCTCAGCCGGTGACACGTGGCCGTCGGTGGTTTGTTGAGCGCCTGTACGTCGGTCGTGGAGTGAGCTGTCAGTGGGGGAGAGTTGTCCTCGCTCATTGCGCGCCGAGCCGAGCCCATCTGCAGCGACGCAACCGGGAGAAGCGCTGGAGTATTCCTTAACGGAGGAGGCTGGAGGGAGCGCGGGAGACGCGAAGAAGCGACCTGGCATTGCTGCGACGGTCATGTGGAAAAGTGTGCTGGCATCGCTACGATGCCAAGGACGTGACGTGGCAGTGATGCAATAGTACGGGAATGAAAGGCTTGTTCGACATTGGGACGACGCGAAGCGCGAACTTCATTTTAGAATGCCTCTGACGAGCGCGTCGCGCTGAAATAACGCTTGGCATGCTGGGACAACCCAAGGTTCACCTACCGCAAAACAGTGGGCACGGAGTTTTCGCGTTTTAGATTTGCGTCGCTAACGTACGTGTTATTGTATAAGAGGTGTTATTTTAACGTTCTTCAGCTGCTGGGGGCATTCTCTACATGTGTTACCTTCATCCAATAGGAGGCTGATGAACTTCCAGGTGCAATACTGGTACTTTAGATAGAGCTACAATGCTGTATGATTCGTTTATTAAAATGAAATATACCGCAATGAATTTCACATGTGGGAAAGCAGCAGTGCTACTTCAAACCTTACAAAATGAATTTCAATTTTGGTATCTGTCAGTCTTAGTGTCTTATTCGGCTAAATAAATGAATGAAAGCCTGTTACATGCTCCAACCAACCCTTTCTTCGTGGCGAAGAGTCGCATTGCATCGCCCAAGCGGGAGCTTACCACCCTACCGGTAACTGATCGCCACGTGCCTCATGCCAACCATGAAGTCCCTCCCTCGCCCTCGGAGTCGCGTAGTGTAGAGTCCGCATGGCGCCAGCGAAGTGACCACACTGATCGAATGGGGCGCCTCGAGTGGAACCCACAGGCACGCGCGCGGCGACTGGGGCGCCTCCAAAATGTCCCCCCAGTGGATGTTGAGCAGCGAGGCATTTGCGAATGCGGCCCGCATTTCGAGTGTTGGCATGGCTGTTGCGAGAATTGAACTTGGAGGTCCCACATGTGACCTTTGCATCTCCTACTAGTAGCTCTGTTCTTATTCTTGCCTTCCCACTAGGCTGGTTCCAGCACGCGCTCGCGTTGTTGCTCGATCTCGACACTTATAGACCTCCTTCTTATTCAGTTCTCACCACCCGAGGTGGCATCTGAGGCAATTAGAAACTCATAGTAGCTAACTTCCTGATCAAACTCCCTGGCTTCCGGCTCACATACCACAACGACAATCTTTTCCGAACTCGAGTGGCAATAAAATGTCTAGCCAGCAGAGCAAGATGAATCTCAACGTGTATTTTGTTGCGACGGTCGTTCTCTTCGTGGTAGCGAATGTCCTGCCTGCTGCCGGCATGCCCTCCAGCAGCGACTTCGAGGTGCCTCCCACTTGAGTTTGGTCGGGAAGCGCAATCCTGCCACTCTCCTCTTTTCTTTCGCAGTATGCTAGACCCGCATGCCGCGGAATGCACGCAATCCCATGCAATGCGCTCTTATGCATCAATCCATGGGATGATTCATCCGTGCGGGTGGAATCGCACTCACTGATTGCATGGGTCTTCAAGCGCAGCTGCGGCTCCCTTGAATCCCTCTCATTCGACTATCACGACATTGTTAATCTCGTCTCCGAACTGAGCAATCATTTTGCTTTTCGTAATGTGTCCCGGATGGGTGCAGAAATACTCGGTTCGCTCCGGCCGGCTACGGCACGGTGACAGCGCGGCGGGGAGCAGTAGCGGCGGGCATCGCGTCAAGTGGAGAAAGCTGCAAGTGCTCGTCACTTGCAGCTCCATGAACCTCACCGCTTGCGGATCGTAAGCGCTCCTCGTCACCTTCGTGCCTAAGATCTGCTCTATCTAGTGGCGGATTCTCTCCCATGCCAAGCAGCCCTTTGTCCATTGCTACTCTCTTTCCACATCTCGTCACTCTCCTTCCTCGATCCACCGTTTGCAATGTTTCATCGCATGATCGTCTCGCTGGCATAATCCTTTCCTTTTATCAACTGTCTATTCTCCGGCGCGGCATGGCAGCGTGTGCGTGGATACGAAGAACGACCTGAATAACTGCGGCGCGTGCGGATCGTTCTGCGACATTTCGACGTCGTGCTGCGACGGCAAGTGCACCAACCTCGACTCCAGCCTCGAGCACTGCGGCGGCTGCTACCAACGCTGCCCGGGCACCTGCACTCTCGGCGTCTGCGACTACGGTGGCACCAGCGGTTACATTCCCGGTGTCACGCCTGCGCCGTAGGCTTCAGTCTTGGGATTGGCTGAAGGACTTGTGTCGCTTCGCTGAATTCAGAACCAGCGATTTGCGACGGCAGCGCAGAGGCGACAACATTCATTCAAGTTTACATTCATTTGCATCCTTCCAACGCGACGACCTTCATCGATCACGATCATCTCATGTTCCTATTTATCCGACATTGCGCATGGTTTGATTGACTGCTGGAGAAAGCGAGCTTCACTGGAGAGAGGTGGGTCGGGGAGCAGGCAAAGATGGACAGAGATCCTGTGGGGGCTCTGTCTTCGTGATACACACCCCCCTTCGTCCCTATTGGGCGAAAATAAGTGTTTGTTTTGTATCTCTAAAGTATCTGCAATGCAAATTTATTGCTTTAGTTTATATGGACAAGTGCCAGCTAGCAACAAATGTCATGATACGTAGAGGGACAGATTCTAACCAAAACAATGAACTCCATGATACGTAGATTAGAATGAACTCCATGCTGCACCGCACTCCGCCCTTGGCCAGTCAACAATGCATAACGCTACACTTGTCCAGTAAACATGGCACAACAGAAGCATCCGATCATTGCGCCTTCCAACGCATTGCATTGCATTGCATGACAGATAAAGATTGCATTGCATGCACAGAAAGGAAATGGAATCATGATGTTAGTAGTTGCTTCACTTCTATACGACAGACGGGGCAACTCAGACGGTACTCGAGCCATTTCTCCAAGCAATCCTGCAGGATGGCATGAACATATGAGAACAGGAGGAGCATCAGCTTTGATCCCATCAGCCATGAGGGCAAATGCATGCACCTTCCTCGAGACCAGGGGAGCAAGCTTACCTTACAGTTACGAAATGCTGACATACTGGTGACAAGTGTGAGAAGGCTCTACTCAATTATCCCCATCGACCCATCATCCGCGGTCCCATGCCCCAGCACTGCCCTCCCTCCATGCTCACCTGGTGGAACAGGTGTCGGCAGCAGTGCATGCGGCGCAGTATGTCAGCATCTTCAAGCTCCACCAGACACACGGAGCACTCGGCTGCCGTCACAGCAGTCACAGGAATCGCCACCTCACTTGGACCACCCGTGCCGCCACTACCTGCCACTGCTGCAAATCCGACCTGACCTGCAAGAAGTAACAAGCCCTGCCTCTCACCACCCATCGGAGAGGAGCGTTTAGAACCGGCATGTGGGGATGGCATGGCCCTGCTATCAGCACCAGCCCCCGATCCCTCCTGTGACTGTGTGCCTTCCCACGCTGTGGCTTCCTCTCCTTGCACCGCACTCGACCCATCCTCAATCCCCCAGTCCGTCTGATCACAACTTGCAATCACGTGGTCCCTCATGGTTGGATGAGCTGGCGTCTCCTCAATAGCTCCACCCTCCATCTCACCCTCTCCCTCTCCCTCTCCCTCACCCCCTCCACCTTCACCTTCACCCTCAACATCACCCCCACCTTCACCTTCGCCTCGTGATATACAATCAGGTTTTGATGATGTTGGGTGACACTCAGCCTTTCTGCTGCTCTCACTTCCGCCTGCTTCACTGCCCTCCACTCGAATATCCACCACAACAGTCGTCCCATCCTCTTGTAAAGAACTATCGTCGCCCACGCATGACTCATCATCCCTTGGTAGCTTCTCCCCCGCTACAGTCAAACCTGTCAGCGTCACCGAGCCCTTGGTAGTGCAGGAAGAGCTCGGCGCGCTTCCACGTGCATCCGCGTCTCGCGCTAGCTTCACATCCGCGCCTCGCGCTTGCATCACATCCGCGTCGCGCGCTACCTTCACATCCGCGTCTCGCGATACCTTCACATCCGCGTAGGTCACAAGGTCGCTGAATGCCCCCAGCAGCTTCGGATCCAGCGCCTCCGCCAGCCGGCTGCGCGCAGCCATCTCGCGCAATGCGCGCTCGCGCTCCCGCGCACGCTCCGCCTGCTCCTCGGCCAAGATTACACGGCAGAGGCGGTAGGCGCAGACGAGAATCATGGACGCCACCATCACGGCGAACGCGAGGAGAATCCCGAGGTCCATGGCCGAGGGAACGGCTTATAAGGGTATCAAAGGGGGATGGCACGTAAGGGCAACGGCAGGAATGGCTTATAGATGCAATGGAGGAAATGGCTATAGGGGCATCAAGGGGGTGGTTTGTGAGGCGGCTCAGGAATGCGGACGGCCATGTTGCGGGGCAACGGGAGATAGGGGCATCACGGGGATGGGCAAAATCAGGGCTTTGGTCGTTTCGAAGGCTTAGGCGCGGCTCGGAAAATAGGCGGCGCTCGAATTATGTGTGCGGCAGTGGAATGTTCTCCGTACGAGAGTGATCAGCGCGATCAGAGGGCCAACGTGACTACTAAGGCAAATGGCGCTGGTGGAAAGGAGACGAGGGCGTAGCGATGATGCGTGAGAAGCCTCCTAGCCGGTAACCACGATCGTCGAAACGTAATGCGCCCGTGGTTGCTGGAACGAGAACATGCGTTGCGCGTTATTCGCAAATAGCAATCCATGTTCCACACCCTTGCTGACTGGAAAAGAGGACGGGCGGAAGGCTGAGAGGGGGATGCTCCTGCATCTCCATATTCTCTCAGCCCGACTTGGGGCCAATCTTGTAGAGGGACATTCTGTGACGAGTCATGGAAGCCCACGTGTTCATTGCACTGGCGTCGCGAAGTGGAGATTCCTGCAAGATGCCTAGCAGGCGGAACACCTGCCAAACCTCGATATAATACAGAGACTCTTCGATGCAATTTAGCAACTCGCATAATTTCATTTTAATAAAGATAATTCTGTTGCCAGGAGGAAACATCCTCCTTTGCTTGGTGCATGGGGCAGTTTTTGCGACCTAGCACAGTGTCCCTCCCTCTTACAATCTACAAGCATCTGCATCTGTATCTACACTTGTTGCAACGTGCACTGGTGGTGCTGTTTTGATGGCGCCACTGATGCACGGCACAGAGGGCACGAGGTGTGGGCTTGCAGCCAGCCGTCTATGCACTCCTGGGTGAAGGACACAAGAGGGTGAGAACACGTGGAGAGGGGTGAAAGCATGTGGAGAAGGGTGAGAGGGCATAACCAAAACAGGGATACGGTAATAACACAGGCATGGAGCAGGCGAATCAGACGAAAAGAAGAGCAGAGAATGGAGACAACGAGGCAGGCCAAGAGGGAGAAAGGGAGGGAGGACAGATCTGTAAAGAGGACCAAGAGAGTGCGCACGCAAGTGGAGATAGTGTAAATTTCTTGTCTGCATGTGTGTGTTTGTGGTGCGTGGGTGAGTGTGTGTACGTGGGTGTGTGTGTGTGTGTGGATGTGTGTGTGTGCACGTGTGTGTGTGTATGTGTGTGTGACTGTGTCTGTGTGTGTGCGCGCGTGTGCGTGCATGCGTGCATGTGTGTGTGTGTGTCTGTGTGTGTGTGTGTGTGTGTGTGTGTGTGTGTGTGTGTGTGTGTGTGTTTGTGTGTGTGTGTGTGTGTGTGTGCGTGCGTGCGTGCGTGCGTGCGTGCGTGCACGCATGCGCGCATGTGTGTGTGTGTGTGTGTGTGTGTGTGTGTGTGTGTGTGTGTGTGTGTGTGCGTGCGTGCGTGCGTGCGTGCGTGTGTGCGTGGGTCCAAGTGGGCACGGCAGCACCTGGTGGAACATGTGGGAGCAGCAGTGCAGTCGTCTCACTCGCTCCTCCTCTCTGAACTCCGTCAAGCACACCGAACACTCCACAGCCAGTGCCCCCCACACCCCCTCCACTCCTCCCTCTCCCTCCTTCCCCCCCCTGCTCTTCCACCCCGTACCCCTCCGTCCCCTGCCTTTCCTCCTCCTGCTACTGCTGCACCTGCTGCTTCCACCCCCTTCTCCCCCGTCGCCTGCTTCATGCCATGCGCCTTCACAAGACGCTCACTCACGTCCCGTTGCCGCTCAGCGTTTTCACTGCCCTGTCCGTTCACTGCCGCCGCTGCTCTTGCTGTCTCCGCTTCTCTATCCGCCCCTCGCTGCCCTTCCCCCTCACACGCGGCCTTAGCACCACCCTCCTTCCCCGCGCGCGCCTTCTCACTCTCCCACCCCTGCTCTCGCTCCTCCCTCTCGCCTATCTCAACCACTACCAACTCCCTGTCTTCTACTCTCCGCTCCTCCTTCACCTCACTGTACCGAATCAAATCGCTGTGCTCAGCAATCTCCTCCGCTCGCAACCCTTTCCCCCTTGTCCCCCCTCCCGCCCCCCCCGCTTCCCCTTCCCCCGCGCGCGCTGGCGTGCCCTCGGGAACTCCGTCAATGACAAGAACGGTGCGCACGTGGATGGTGGAATCTGGGTCGTCGGATCGGCGCGGGAGCGGCGAGAGCAGCGCGGCGTGCAGCAGCAGCGCGCGGAGGACGCGGAAGAGGAAGGAGAAGACGAAGGCGGCGCAGAGGAACATAATCGCGTATAACGCGGACGTGCTCACCGACATCTTGCCGCCGCTTTCTGCGCTGCCCGCTGCTGCGCTGTCCGCTGCTACAGTGCCGGGTAATGGGGTGACAAATAACACAGAGGCGAACTAGGGCTCGTGTCAAGAGCCGCCGGGCGGTGTCATCCGACTAAATTAAATGGCGATAGTAGAGGGACACTTGGTCACCGCGCGGGCTTCGTCACGCGTGTAGCCTGTTAGTGGATTGTGAATATAGCGAAGGTCAACAAAGTCAAGCGTCCCCAGAGAGTCAAAGTCAGACTGCGTGAGCGACTCGAAGGGCCGCCACTGCCGCCCTTCTCCGATACAGATGCGACTACCGAAAGGGTTTCTTAATATGTGTACAGAATTACAGGATTAGCGGCGTATAACACCCTCGGGCACTGTAACACGCTGCAAAGCTAACTAGCGGCGCGGGTCGGACGGCACGGGACGCTCAAGAAACCGCGAGCAGCAACGCGCAGCGAGTCGGCTGTCCATGGCCATTGGAAATTACAATGCCTTAAAAACTTATATTAAGATTAGTTCCTAATAAAAACAGTTCTGTGGTTCATGCGGTAAGGCGATTAGGCGAAGTAACTAGTCTGCATGACCGCGAGACTGGACGGCTGAGATGAGTCAGGCGCAGCCCACGGATGCAATTAAGATATTGTCTGCAAGCAGGAAGACTTGATGCGCGGCTACGGATTTCGGTTGCCCACGTTGGCGGAAGGTGCCTGCCCTGCGCAGGAGAAGACTTGGCGGAAGGGTACTGGGGGAGGTGCCCCAACCAAAGCGGCGGATTGTTGACAGTGATGTGTCAGAGCGCGCCAAGGCTGGTCGTCGTGGCGTGGCGAAGGTAGGAAACCACGGGCCAGTGGTGGTGGTGTATTTGGTACTAAGGATTTCTCTACAACTCCATTGCTGCCGGTTTCGTTGCTAACTCGTGCACAAGGAGTACTTACGATTTATGGAGAGTCGGTGCAGGTATGTTTCCACCTATTTGGCTGTATCGCATGCTCAGCTCAACACAAGATACTAGGAGATTGAGGTGAGCCCTTTCTGTACACTTAATAAACATCCATGCTCCTCTCTTCCAACTTCCATGCCCTCCAAACACCTACCGGTATAACCCATTTTTCGTATCCATCGGCTGATTTCCTAAATGGAGTCTTCCGAGCCGATGAAAGGTAAGAAGGAGAACATCCCGCCTGAATGGCTGCAAGCAATAATCAGAGAGATGTGATGGAGAAGTAAGAGTTCACTGCCGTATGGTCACACAGATGATAACCAAACCAATAGATTGGGACAGTAACACGGTGGACAGAATAAGCTGCCACCACACACCCATGCCGATGCCGATCATACCAATCACTGCACAGATTGTGCCGCCCACTGACCTGTGGCGGGAGAAGTAGTCGTTGTCGAGTGAGACGGCCAGCGCCAAACACACGGCTCGCTCCAGCAGTGAGAGTGGGCGTGCCACCGAGAGCACGGGACCCTGTTGAGGATAGGGGTGGGGGGACAGGCAGTGATGGGTGGGAAGGCATGCATCAAGAAGGTTAGATGGAAGGCCATGCACTCAACTCAACACATGCACACATTGCCTCTTCTTGCCGTTGCACTTCTGCCTTCATTTTGCCATTCTGCTTCGGCCTTCCATCTCACCTCATCGCCTGTTGAGAACCATGGCTGATGATACTGCTGTGCCTTCTCCTCCTTGCACTCCCTGCCCTCCCGTTCCCGCTGCTCCTGCTTCTCCCACTGCTGCTGCTGCCAGTGCCGCACGGATCCGAATCGCACCACGTACTGCCCCGCATCTGTGAACACCTGCCATCACAGCACACCACCCAGCACACCACCACAAAAACGCGAAGGCACGCACTGAGGTGACTGTTGAGTCGACTCAAAGGCACGGAGCCGCACCACACCACGGAACGCATCTGTGATGTGAACACCTGCCGTCAAAACATTCAGGAACGCAGAGGCAGCACTGGAGCATGGGTACCCACAAAGGGGATGGAGTGGGAAGACAGTATTCATGCGCACCACAAGCACACAATCGCGTGCTGCATTCGTATCATAGCATCACCCATCACACACAATACCATGCCCCCCCTCCACACCAAGCCCTCATGCCCTCTGCTCTACGGACTTCCCCCACCCTCTCGCAACCCCCCCTTTCTCTCCAGCTCCCCCACTCCCCCCTGCATCCCCTCCTCTGCCCCCTCCAACACCCCTCCCCAGCGCACCTCAAAGCCCAGCGCACCTCAAAGCCCAGCGCACCTCAAAGCCCAGCGCACCTCAAAGCCCAGCGCACCTCAAAGCCCAGCCCTCGCCAGTTGCGCGTGATCTCTGCTAGCCTCTGCCCCTCCCCGTCGCACAGCGCGAAAGACCACCACCAAAAGCCAGGGTTAACCACCCTCGCAAACTGCTGCTTGCTGCACGAAACAACGGGCAGAGTGGCGGAGGGAAGGAGTTAAAGCGAGCGGCTCAAAGGGAGGGATGGAAGTAGGATTTGTGCAATAGAAGCAATCCTGGCGCGTCATGCTGGCACTGCAGCTCCAGTCCCGCTGCCGGGACTGCAGCTCCAGTCCCGCTGCTGGGACTGCAGCTGCAGTCCCGCTGCTGGGGACTGCAGCTCCAGTCCCGCTGCCGGGACTGCAGCTCCAGTCCCGCTGCTGGGACTGCAGCTCCAGTCCCGCTGCTGGGACTGCAGCTCCAGTCCCGCTGCTGGGACTGCAGCTCCAGTCCCGCTGCTGGGACTGCAGCTCCAGTCCCGCTGCTGGGACTGCAGCTCCAGTCCCGCTGCTGGGACTGCAGCTCCAGTCCCGCTGCTGGGACTGCAGCTCCAGTCCCGCTGCTGGGACTGCAGCTCCAGTCCCGCTGCTGGGACTGCAGCTCCAGTCCCGCTGCTGGGACTGCAGCTCCAGTCCCGCTGCTGGGACTGCAGCTCCAGTCCCGCGGCTGGGACTGCAGCTCCAGTCCCGCGGCTGGGACTGCAGCTCCAGTCCCGCGGCTGGGACTGCAGCTCCAGTCCCGCGGCTGGGACTGCAGCTCCAGTCCCGCTGCTGGGACTGCAGCTCCAGTCCCGCGGCTGGGGCTGCAGCTCCAGTCCCGCGGCTGGGGCTGCAGCTCCAGTCCCGCTGCTGGGACTGCAGCTCCAGTCCCGCTGCTGGGACTGCAGCTCCAGTCCCGCTGCTGGGACTGCAGCTCCAGTCCCGCTGCTGGGACTGCAGCTCCAGTCCCGCTGCTGGGACTGCAGCTGCAGTCCCGCTGCTGGGGACTGCAGCTCCAGTCCCGCTGCCGGGACTGCAGCTCCAGTCCCGCTGCTGGGTCTGCAGCTCCAGTCCCGCTGCTGGGACTGCAGCTCCAGTCCCGCTGCTGGGACTGCAGCTCCAGTCCCGCTGCTGGGACTGCAGCTCCAGTCCCGCTGCCGGGACTGCAGCTCCAGTCCCGCTGCTGGGACTGCAGCTGCAGTCCCGCTGCTGGGGACTGCAGCTCCAGTCCCGCTGCCGGGACTGCAGCTCCAGTCCCGCTGCTGGGACTGCAGCTCCAGTCCCGCTGCTGGGACTGCAGCTCCAGTCCCGCTGCTGGGTCTGCAGCTCCAGTCCCGCTGCTGGGTCTGCAGCTCCAGTCCCGCTGCTGGGACTGCAGCTCCAGTCCCGCTGCTGGGACTGCAGCTCCAGTCCCGCTGCTGGGACTGCAGCTCCAGTCCCGCTGCTGGGACTGCAGCTCCAGTCCCGCTGCTGGGACTGCAGCTCCAGTCCCGCTGCTGGGACTGCAGCTCCAGTCCCGCTGCTGGGACTGCAGCTCCAGTCCCGCTGCTGGGACTGCAGCTCCAGTCCCGCTGCTGGGACTGCAGCTCCAGTCCCGCTGCTGGGACTGCAGCTCCAGTCCCGCTGCTGGGACTGCAGCTGCAGTCCCGCTGCTGGGGACTGCAGCTCCAGTCCCGCTGCCGGGACTGCAGCTCCAGTCCCGCTGCTGGGACTGCAGCTCCAGTCCCGCTGCTGGGACTGCAGCTCCAGTCCCGCTGCTGGGTCTGCAGCTCCAGTCCCGCTGCTGGGTCTGCAGCTCCAGTCCCGCTGCTGGGACTGCAGCTCCAGTCCCGCTGCTGGGACTGCAGCTCCAGTCCCGCTGCTGGGACTGCAGCTCCAGTCCCGCTGCTGGGACTGCAGCTCCAGTCCCGCTGCTGGGACTGCAGCTCCAGTCCCGCTGCTGGGACTGCAGCTCCAGTCCCGCTGCTGGGACTGCAGCTCCAGTCCCGCTGCTGGGACTGCAGCTCCAGTCCCGCTGCTGGGACTGCAGCTCCAGTCCCGCTGCTGGGACTGCAGCTCCAGTCCCGCGGCTGGGACTGCAGCTCCAGTCCCGCGGCTGGGACTGCAGCTCCAGTCCCGCGGCTGGGACTGCAGCTCCAGTCCCGCGGCTGGGACTGCAGCTCCAGTCCCGCTGCTGGGACTGCAGCTCCAGTCCCGCGGCTGGGGCTGCAGCTCCAGTCCCGCGGCTGGGGCTGCAGCTCCAGTCCCGCTGCTGGGACTGCAGCTCCAGTCCCGCTGCTGGGACTGCAGCTCCAGTCCCGCTGCTGGGACTGCAGCTCCAGTCCCGCTGCTGGGACTGCAGCTCCAGTCCCGCTGCTGGGACTGCAGCTGCAGTCCCGCTGCTGGGGACTGCAGCTCCAGTCCCGCTGCCGGGACTGCAGCTCCAGTCCCGCTGCTGGGTCTGCAGCTCCAGTCCCGCTGCTGGGACTGCAGCTCCAGTCCCGCTGCTGGGACTGCAGCTCCAGTCCCGCTGCTGGGACTGCAGCTCCAGTCCCGCTGCCGGGACTGCAGCTCCAGTCCCGCTGCTGGGACTGCAGCTGCAGTCCCGCTGCTGGGGACTGCAGCTCCAGTCCCGCTGCCGGGACTGCAGCTCCAGTCCCGCTGCTGGGACTGCAGCTCCAGTCCCGCTGCTGGGACTGCAGCTCCAGTCCCGCTGCTGGGTCTGCAGCTCCAGTCCCGCTGCTGGGTCTGCAGCTCCAGTCCCGCTGCTGGGACTGCAGCTCCAGTCCCGCTGCTGGGACTGCAGCTCCAGTCCCGCTGCTGGGTCTGCAGCTCCAGTCCCGTTGCTGGGTCTGCAGCTCCAGTCCCGCAGCTGGGACTGCAGCTCCAGTCCCCAAGCTGGGACTGCAGCTCCAGTCCCGCTGCTGGGACTGCAGCTCCAGTCCCGCTGCTGGGACTGCAGCTCCAGTCCCGCTGCTGGGACTGCAGCTCCAGTCCCGCTGCTGGGACTGCAGCTCCAGTCCCGCTGCTGGGACTGCAGCTCCAGTCCCGCTGCTGGGACTGCAGCTCCAGTCCCGCTGCTGGGACTGCAGCTCCAGTCCCGCTGCTGGGACTGCAGCTCCAGTCCCGCGGCTGGGACTGCAGCTCCAGTCCCGCGGCTGGGACTGCAGCTCCAGTCCCGCGGCTGGGACTGCAGCTCCAGTCCCGCGGCTGGGACTGCAGCTCCAGTCCCGCTGCTGGGACTGCAGCTCCAGTCCCGCGGCTGGGGCTGCAGCTCCAGTCCCGCGGCTGGGGCTGCAGCTCCAGTCCCGCTGCTGGGACTGCAGCTCCAGTCCCGCTGCTGGGACTGCAGCTCCAGTCCCGCTGCTGGGACTGCAGCTCCAGTCCCGCTGCTGGGACTGCAGCTCCAGTCCCGCTGCTGGGACTGCAGCTCCAGTCCCGCTGCTGGGACTGCAGCTCCAGTCCCGCGGCTGGGACTGCAGCTCCAGTCCCGCGGCTGGGGCTGCAGCTCCAGTCCCGCGGCTGGGGCTGCAGCTCCAGTCCCGCTGCTGGGACTGCAGCTCCAGTCCCGCTGCTGGGACTGCAGCTCCAGTCCCGCTGCTGGGACTGCAGCTCCAGTCCCGCTGCTGGGACTGCAGCTCCAGTCCCGCTGCTGGGACAGCAGCTCCAGTCCCGCGGCTGGGACTGCAGCTCCAGTCCCGCGGCTGGGACTGCAGCTCCAGTCCCGCGGCTGGGACTGCAGCTCCAGTCCCGCGGCTGGGACTGCAGCTCCAGTCCCGCGGCTGGGACTGCAGCTCCAGTCCCGCTGCTGGGACTGCAGCTCCAGTCCCGCTGCTGGGACTGCAGCTCCAGTCCCGCGGCTGGGACTGCAGCTCCAGTCCCGCTGCTGGGACTGCAGCTCCAGTCCCGCTGCTGGGACTGCAGCTCCAGTCCCGCTGCTGGGACTGCAGCTCCAGTCCCGCTGCTGGGACTGCAGCTCCAGTCCCGCTGCTGGGACTGCAGCTCCAGTCCCGCTGCTGGGACTGCAGCTCCAGTCCCGCTGCTGGGACTGCAGCTCCAGTCCCGCTGCTGGGACTGCAGCTCCAGTCCCGCTGCTGGGACTGCAGCTCCAGTCCCGCTGCTGGGACTGCAGCTCCAGTCCCGCTGCTGGGACTGCAGCTCCAGTCCCGCTGCTGGGACTGCAGCTCCAGTCCCGCTGCTGGGTCTGCAGCTCCAGTCCCGCTGCTGGGACTGCAGCTCCAGTCCCGCAGCTGGGACAGCAGCTCCAGTCCCGCTGCTGGGACTGCAGCTCCAGTCCCGCTGCTGGGACTGCAGCTCCAGTCCCGCTGCTGGGACTGCAGCTCCAGTCCCGCTGCTGGGACTGCAGCTCCAGTCCCGCTGCTGGGACTGCAGCTCCAGTCCCGCTGCTGGGACTGCAGCTCCAGTCCCGCTGCTGGGACTGCAGCTCCAGTCCCGCTGCTGGGACTGCAGCTCCAGTCCCGCGGCTGGGACTGCAGCTCCAGTCCCGCGGCTGGGACTGCAGCTCCAGTCCCGCTGCTGGGACTGCAGCTCCAGTCCCGCGGCTGGGACTGCAGCTCCAGTCCCCCTGCTGGGACTGCAGCTCCAGTCCCGCTGCTGGGACTGCAGCTCCAGTCCCGCGGCTGGGGCTGCAGCTCCAGTCCCGCGGCTGGGGCTGCAGCTCCAGTCCCGCTGCTGGGACTGCAGCTCCAGTCCCGCTGCTGGGACTGCAGCTCCAGTCCCGCGGCTGGGACTGCAGCTCCAGTCCTGCTGCTGGGACTGCAGCTCCAGTCCCGCTGCTGGGACTGCAGCTCCAGTCCCGCTGCTGGGACTGCAGCTCCAGTCCCGCGGCTGGGGCTGCAGCTCCAGTCCCGCGGCTGGGGCTGCAGCTCCAGTCCCGCTGCTGGGACTGCAGCTCCAGTCCCGCTGCTGGGACTGCAGCTCCAGTCCCGCTGCTGGGACTGCAGCTCCAGTCCCGCTGCTGGGACTGCAGCTCCAGTCCCGCTGCTGGGACTGCAGCTCCAGTCCCGCGGCTGGGACTGCAGCTCCAGTCCCGCGGCTGGGACTGCAGCTCCAGTCCCGCGGCTGGGACTGCAGCTCCAGTCCCGCGGCTGGGACTGCAGCTCCAGTCCTGCTGCTGGGACTGCAGCTCCAGTCCCGCTGCTGGGACTGCAGCTCCAGTCCCG